ATACACATAGACTACTACTCAGCCATAGGGAAAATGAAATATTGCAGTTTGTTGCTACAGGGACAGGAGAAGAAGGTATTATATTGAGTGAAGTGAGTCAAAGAGAGAGGGACAAATCCAGAATGCTTTCACTCATATGTAGAGTATGAAGAAATACGGTAAGATAATAATGATAAACAATGACCAATGATAATAGACCTGGGGAGTCAGCCTGGAGATGTAACCTAGGAAAGTGGCTTAGGGTAGCAGGCACAGCTAGCATAGGTGAGTCTCTGGGTGGAATCCCTGGCAACACACACACACACACACACACACACACACACACACACACACACACTCTTACATTTTTTTTCTTTTGTAAGCTATAGATGTTTGTCTATTTTTCTATTGAGACAATCTTACTGACTTAGAAGAGAAATTAAAACATTAAGAAAACTAGTTCTTGGTCTGTGATAAAGCTACAAAGGTGCTTTCCCAGCTTTTCATGTGTCCGTTGGCTCTGTTTAGAGTATGTATTTTTGCATGAAAAACACTTCGTATTTGCACTAAATACTTCTGGATAATTTCTGGCATATCATTTAAGAAAACCGAACTCTTCCAATGAATAATAATAACAACAAAATCCACTCACAGTTTGCTGTAGTACTTTTGTTATTAATATTAAAATATTTTATCTTTCAGGATTTCCTTAACCACCATCCACAGCTCCACAAACAATCCTTTCTTTTAACATCCTGGTTCCTATCTGGGTCCTGCTCAATATGGGGGTCGTACACCAGAGCAGACACTCAATTTCCCAGCTCTTGACCTCACCCATGGGGGCCCTCCAGGAATGAGAACTGCCAGGAGAGCCTCTGTCATAGCCAGGAGCAAGTGTGTCTCCTGGTCTGTGTAACTCCGACATAAAGGCCTTACTCTGTGCAGGGTCCCAGGACTCCTCCTGCCCCTGAGAAATCAGGTGTGGAACTAGTGAGGCAGGGAGAGACCATCCTTTTTCTGTGGGGCCTCGGACCCTGGGAGGATTAAGAATCTTCTCCCACACTGCTGGATGAAGCTAACCCTAAGTGAGGGTCCTGCCCGGAAGGGAGAACTTTTTCCTTGAAGGAACCTGAGTCCTTAAAAAAAAAATGCCTCCTGAAAGTCTGTGCTATTCTATGGCCACAGAAGCCAAGACAAATCTATTGCTCCTTGGACTTGGAGCTGGGGTCCTTTTCTCCTCACTTGGGAAGGTGGGGTTGGGCCAGGTGGAGTAAGGCCTCCCATACAGTCCCACAAATTGTCACCTAGTGTCCAAGGCAAGGAATTGCTCAGTGTATGTAAGCTTAGAAAAATTGCTCAGTGATCTCAGGGGCAGGCCAAGTTCCCTTCCTATGTAAACCCCAGCTGCTGCAATCACCTTAATAGTAGCCGTCATGCCTCCAGCCGGACTGCCCAATTAAATATTCTGGATTTTCTGGTGCACGTGGCCCATTGGCAGTCACACAACATCTCCAAACTCTACAATACTAACATCCCAGTTGGAACACATCAGACTGGGTGAGAATGTAACATAGAGGCCAACTAATCTCGACTAACAAAAACATTCACACAGAAGGCTTAGCTTGCAATAACAGCTTGGTAAAACCTCAGACAAGGACTTAATGTTCCCATGGCGAGATACAATAATTTTCACAAATTTTCCCTTACTGAAAAATTTTTGGATCATTCCATTAAGCCATTTAAGTGGTAACAAGCAATATAAAATAAATAATGGTGGGCCTGTTGGGGGAGAGCAGGCTTGAGGGGTGGTTGGGGGAATGCAGACGATGGTGAAGGGAAGGTGATAGTGGTGGTGGATTTGGTGTTGGAATACTGAATGCTGTAATAAATCATGATGAACAACTTTGCAAAGTATGGTGTTTAAATAAAGTAGGGGGCCGGAGGAAAGAAAATTGCTCAGAGCTTATGACATTACATCTTAGTGCCCATGTTTGTGCCTTTCTCTTGAAAGAAGGGTCCTTTCTCCAGAGGGAGATTGGCAACACAGCAACAAAAAGACTGTGACAAGGTACAAGGTTCCTTCAATGACCATGAGAGCCCGCTTTCTTACGGGAGTTATCCCAGAAGCCCCTTAACTAATCTGTGAAATAACAAATGACAAAGCAAGGGCTCCATTGCTGCACAATTGACTTCTTACAGAGTCCAAACCCACACGATCTGGAAATACACACCACTGTTATATGGACCAGTAGGGAAGAAACTACTGTCAATTACAACTGGAAGAAATCCATGACAGTAGACTGGATTTTTTTTTCCCAATTAGTGAATCACCATGAGGTACAGTTACAGACTTACAAACTTTCGTGCTTGCGTTTCAGTCATACAATGATGGAGTACCCATCCCTCCACCAGTGCCCATTTTCCGCCACCAATGGTCCCAGTATCCCTTCCACCACCCCCACCCCGTCCCCCCACCCCACTCCGCCTCTGTGGCAGGGCATTCCCTTTTGCTCTCTCTCTTCTTTTGGGTGTTGTGGTTTGCAATAGAGGTATTAAGTGGTCATCATGTTCAGTCTATAGTTGTAGACCAGATTAAAAATGTAACAAGATTTAGAGTCAAGAAAAACTAGAGACTATTTGTATGTGTTCAAATTAAAAGTAAACTTGCAATGTACAAAAAAAAAAAAATCCTTCCATCGCCATACCTAGCTGTGTGTTCTGTAGAGTTTTATCCGCCAAGTCTCACTGTAGACAGTTTCCCCCTGTCCCCCTCTCTCTCATATAAAATTTGTGGAATGAACAAACAGATTTTGTCCAATGCATGAACTTAGACGAGGTAGCCCAGAGAGGTCAAGGAGCTTGAAAGTCCATGCATGCCTCCTTACTGGCCAAAGGGGGACTGGGCCAGGCTATCTAACCCAATGTGCTACACCCAGAGGGAAGGGCAAGAGATTGGAAATGCCAGCCTGATCCAAGAAGAAGGCTGGCAGAGATGGTACCAGAGTAAAGTCATCTGTCCCATGGTGCAGCCAACAGGCGTTGGTCCCTGGCACCACATATGGTTCCCTCAGCACGGCCAGGAGTCACTCCTGAGCACCTAGTCAGGAATAACCCTTGAGTACTGCTGGGTGTGGCCCCTCCCAATTAAAAATAAATAAGAAGACTGGTGTTAGAAGATTCGAGAAGGGAAGGATCTCTGGGGAGTTCTAGGGACACGCTGACCTGGGTGAGTTGGGAGAGAAGAAGCAGGGGCACGGAAGGCAAGCTGGCAGCGTCTTGGGTGTCTACTCTGCCTGGCTCTGAGCCAGGGGTGGTCCCTGTCCTTGCGCGGTCTGATCTGCAACCTGTGCAGTAGGTAATATTTCCCTCATTCTCATGGGCGCAGGAAACGGATGCAGGAGTTTAAACCAGTTGTCTCTTCGACCCGCTGGTGCCGGACTCCTAAACTTGACCTCTTCCCACGCCCCGCGCAGCTTCTGGGAACACAGGGCCGCGCGCGCGCGCGTGCCTTCCTTTACAGAGCACTGGGCTGGGCGCGGTCGGTTGTAGCAGGGCATCGAGAGAGTGGGGGGGGGGGCGGGGGGTGGTGCAATGAAGCCTGAGAAGCCAGGACCCTTTTCCAAAGCAAAACAAACAAAACAAAACACCCAAAACAGGAGAGAGGCCAGAGGTGGGCAGAGCGCACCCCGAGCGTCTCCGAGGCACTGGAAAGCAGGGTGCCAGGAGCGTAGGCAGAGGCCTGGGCTCCAGAGCCAGGTCACCTTCTATTCTCCAGGATTCCAGAGCAGAAGCATCAGAGGGGTAAAGTGGGAGGGGCTGAGCCTGTCCCGACTAGGCGAGGGGGAACCCCCCCAACACCTGCCCCCCTCCTCCAGTGGCCCCAGGTCGGCTAGCGCACACTGCCCCCGGGCCTGGTTTCCTATCCGCTGCCCCTCGCCCTGTAGGCGGGCACTCCCGGGCCTGCGGGCTGAGACCCTCGCTCGCGTTTGGAAATAAAGGCCCCTGCGCCGGACGTTGCGCCAGGTAGTCGGGGGTGGGGGTGGGAGGCCCGGGTGCATAAAGTACGCTTTGTGCCAGGGGCCGCCTTCCCGCCCCCCACCCCCACCCCCCGCACCGGCAGATCGGGAGCGGGGGGCGGCGGCGGGGGGAGGGGGGAGGAGGAGGGAACCCGGGAGGTTGACTCCTCGGATCCTTAAGCCTCCCCTCGAACTTGCTAAAAGGGGCTTTCAGGAACTAGGCTTCAAAGCCCGGCTGCAGCTCGGCGCCGGTCCCAGCCGCTCCGGCCCCCGGGGCTGGGCGAGGGGGGCGGGGGGTGTCCGGGCGTCCTGCCAGCTCCCCGCGGTGCCCAGACGCGGGGAGGCGGCGAGTTCCCCTCTCCTTCCCGCTCGGTCTCCAGCCCGGAGTTTCCTCGGGCCCGGCCTTCCCGGCTCCCCACCCAGCTCTCAGCCCCTTAACCCTTTCCTCCGAGGGAGTGAGGAGGGGAGGGGGTGCTGGAGGGGCGGGGCGCGTGGTCGGGGAGGGGCCCCAGAAACGCGGCTCGCTCTGCCCACCCCGCTCCTCCTCGTCCTTCCTCTTCCCCCCACCAGGGAAAAGGGAACGTGGAAGGAAATTAACTTTGACCCCCCGGATCCTGGCTCGGGGCCAGCAGCTCGGGGTGGAAGCGGAGGTTTCCAGGACCCTCCCCGGCCCGCCCCCGCCCTCCGCGCCCCTTCCAGCTTCCCCACGTCCGGAGCGGGAGTTTTTCCGGGGTGCCGCTGTTGCTGCTGTTGCTGTTGTTGCTGCTGCTGCTGCTGCTGCTGCTGCTGCTGCTGCTGCTGGGGGGGGACACTGGTAGGGTGGCTCCCGGGGGTCTGCTGGAGCCCGGTCGCGCCCACCCTCAGCGGTCACCCCCGGCGGGAAGCGACAGTCGCAGGAGCTGCGGCCGAGAGGGACGCGGCCCGGAGCGCCCGGGGCCTGGGGGGCTTGGGGGGCGCGCCGCGGGTCCGGGGGCGTGGTCTAGCCCGGCGAGGCGAGCGGGGCTGGGCTCCCCTAGCGGGGCCCGGCGACACAGTGGGCTCCCTGGATCCGGGGGGCTGTGGGGCAGCCATGCTCCTGTCGGGGGGCGAGCCTCCGGCGCAGGAGTGGCTCCGGGTGCAGAATAAATCTAAGCCCCGCGTCCAGCGCCAGCGGCTGCCGCTGCAGCGCATCTTCAGGGTCAAGCTCAGCGCCTTCCAGGGCCGCCCGGACACCTCCTACTTCTGGCTTCGGCTCGAGGGGCCCAAGGAGAACCTGAGCAAAGCCAAGGTAAGCTGCTTCTCCTCCCCGCTGAGCCTTCCAGCCTGGGCCCTCTGTCTCCGCCCTGGCTCGGGGACACAGGGGCTTCCTCCCCGCCCCCCACCCTAACCCCATCTGGACTGGCCGTGTGGCTTGCAGGTATCAACTCCTCCTCGCGCGTCCCAGCCCCTGCACCCGCTAATTCCTTCTTAAACCCCTCCCCACTGTGTATGTCTCTCCTGCCCCTCAGAGCCTCGAGGCCCCCAGAGCCCGCATGCCTCGGGCTCTGCCACTCGCTTTGTTCTCCTGGAGGCTGCGCCCAGGCCTGCTGACTCGGTCCTGGACTGACCCAGAGAGCCCACCAGACGCTGGCTCTGGAGTGGCCCTTCCAGATGCTTCCAGAACTTTCCTGGGGCCGTGGGCGGGTGGGCCAGGGCCAGGCAGTTGGGGAGGGACAGAGGCTGGGACCTCCAGACCCAGATCTGAACCCCCCCCCCCCCCCAGGTTGCCTCTGGCAGGGTCCAGGCTGGGGTCCAGCTGCACTGGCTAGCCTGGGCATGGGCCTTATCACGGGAGGAGGCTGTGTGCGTTTCTGAGGGCAGGGCCTGCAGTGGAGGCCAGGTGGCAGAGCACCCCCTCTCTTGCCTCCTCCCTGGCTTCCCCTCTTCTTGGATCTCTCAGATTCCACATCAAGGCAAAGGTCCTTTCTCTGTCTCCTCAACATCCTCTTTCTCTCTTTTCCTGGTAGTGGTGGGCAGGCTGTAGCCCCAGGGGTCCCTGGGTGCTCTGTGACCTCCTGGTGGCACCTCTGCCTGTTCCCCACCACCCCCCTGCGTATATACTTCTTTCCCAGACTCCTCACTGACCCGGGCTGAGGAGGCCCCAAACCGCTGGCCCTGGCGGCTGGCTGGCTGGTGGGAGGGCAGGACTGCGGAGTTTTTAGCTCGGCCCCTCCGCAGAGCTGCTGTGTCAGCGGGTTTTTCCCGTGGTTCTGACAGAGGTGCTGGGGGAGGGGAGAGGTGCCTGCCTGGAGACAGAAGCTTAGGAGCACCCCACCCTGTCCAGGGGAAAACTCTGTCAGCAGCAGCTGAGATTGGGGAGGGGGTGGGCTGTGACAGGAGGCACCTTTGTGTTGGGCTCTTCATCTTTTTTTGTTGTTGTTAACTTGGAATGCAACAGTTTTCTCAAGTGCTCTGCTCCCAGATCTCTGCAGGAATCCTTCCCCAGGCACCTCACTTCCAGCTCCACAGCTGCCCCAGGGTTTGGGAGGAGGTACCAGTCCCTCTTTCACCCCCAGTTGGGCCGCCTAGATTCTCCCTAACCCGTGGAAAGACACTGATGGAACACAGAGCATGAAGTGCTGGGGCAGGGGTGTGGGGCTTCTGATGACTTCCGGTTGCACAGGACAAGCGGAATAAAAGACATGATGTATGTCTGGATGTCCAGATGATGTCTGGACCTGGAGGATCGGGAAGGTGGGGACCATTGGGCTTCTCCCAGAAGTTAGGAGATCTGGGCCCCCATTTCTGTTGTTAAGTTCCAGCAGGATAGAGGGTGGGGGGGAAGAGCTTGCACCTGGGCTCTGCTCCCACTACTCACCCTCTTCCTCTGGTCTTTTTCCTTCTCTACAAGACAATCTGGTCCGCCATACCAGGTGTGCGGGACCTGGGGCTGAGATCTCCAAGCCTGCTCGGATCTGGACTGGGCCTCCTCCACCCAGATCCCCCATTTTACAATAGCTAGGCAGTCACACCCACAAACTGCCGTGTAATCCCATCAATGGCCAAGGTCCAGAGACTATAAAACAAAGCTTCCAGAAGTGTGTGGCCGCATTCCTGGCTGTGCGACCTCTTATAAGAGGTCTATAGTCTATAAGTGGGCTTATAAGTGGGCTGTAGTCTAGCCCACTGATGTACCTAAAGCAGCACACATGTGTTTGGTTTTAACATACTTGCTTGTATTCTCTTATATACATTCTCTGTTCCTCTCGGAGAGCCCGGCAAGCTACTGAAAGTATCCCACCTGCATGACAGAGCCTGGCAAGCTCCCGTGACGTATTCGATATGCCAAAAACAGTAATGGGTCTCATTCCCCGTACCCTGAAAGAGTCTCCAGTACAGCACCATTGGGAAGGACTAGTCAGGAGAGGCTGCTAAAATCTCAGGGCTGGGACGAATGGAGACAGTACTGGCACCCGTTCGAGCAAATCGATTAATAACAGGATGACAGTGACAGTGACAATAATAAGACAATCTGATAGCCTGGCTCCATGGCAGGCTGGTGGGGGTCACCTGGAGCAGTGCACATGGAGGAACATGTGCCAGATGGGAGTGCTGCGGAGGTCAGAGGCTCCAGCTTCTTAACTAGTTGTGTGATTCCTAGCAAGTCCCGTTCCCTGTCTGAGTTCCAGTCTCCCTCATGTGTTGGTAAAATAAGGAACTTGCATGAAATGTCTTCTGAGGTCCTGAGATATGATCCTTGGAAAGTTCCCAGGTGCTGTGCTGACCCCTCTCAGCATAGGCACCCACTGGTGTCAAATTGTGCCCTTGGACAGTGACCAGCTCTCCAGACAGGCTAACAGAGGACTCCAGAAGACTGGAGGTTGTAGCATGGGCAAAAGGAAGTAGCAGGATGGTGCTGGATTTTCTTGGGAAAGCTCCCAAGCAGTGACTGCTAGGGGGCAGGTCTAGAGGCTTCACTCTTGGTGACATTCACACTCAGTCTGGCCATGTGGAATGGTTGGTTCAGTGCTCAGGCTTGATGCTGCCTGGGGGCCAGTGGTGTGGGGACCACCAAGTCTACTTTAGTGTGTGTGTGTGTGTGTGTTTGTGTGCATTTAGTACTACTCCAGTTTGTGTATATACGCACGTGTGTGTGTGCACTCATTTAGTGCTACTCCCAGTTTGTGTGTATATGCACGTGTGTATGGGTGTGCATTTAGTGCCAGGGATTGAATGTTCTTATGCATATCAGGCTTGCACTCCGGTCCTCTGAACTGTCTTCCTAACACTCCCTAGGCTGGCTTTTTTGTGAGGCGAGAAATGGTCAGAGGGGATGTAAGCTGGTTGTGTGTCTAGAAAACTGTCTGGCTGTATTTCTACATTAGCTGTGGCTTGGTTTTCAAGGAAAATCTCTGTAGAGTTCATGAATATTCCTCTCCCCCCACCCCAAAAGTGAAGACATTATACTAGAAATCACAATTCCATGTTTCAGTACGTAGTACTATAATTTGATGCCTGTAAAAATCGTTCACTGTAAAAAGACGAGTTCCCATCCACACAGTTGAACCACATTCTCCTATTGGTCATAGGTGTTCTCTGTGTCTGGTGATAGTGGTGGTCTAAGAATAGTACCTGGCATGTCTGGGTGCTCAGCAATGACTTCTGAGTGGGTGAATACATTCTGAGATTCCTCTGTTCTAACATTCTGAAAATCTTCACTGCTTTTTTCCTCTGGGGGTCTCCTTTCTGGGAATCCCCTGGTGATTTGCTGGAAAATGCCCGCTGGTGGCTTCCTGAGAAGGATTTTAGGGGAGGTGAAATGTTGGGCTACACATTTGTACATCAGCTTTGGATACCGAAAACCCCTTGATCCATAAGTTGCCTAGTACTGAATGGAATTCCATTGATAAATGCTTAATTATATTTCTTTACAAGTGAAAAGGCAACTTTGGCTTCTTCTTTTGGAAAATCCTGAAGCTGTTCTGGTCCCAGGTCTTCATGTGCAAAACATTCTCTCTCTGAAAAGTGGTAGTTTCCTCCAGTGACTCGGGTCTTTTGGAGGGCCTCTTTGTATATCTTTGTTGGCTGTCAGTGGTCTTGCATTGGGGGAATTCCTTCTACCTGTGTGCTCTATCAATACATTGGAATAATTTCTTCCCCATGTGTTCTATGTCTCTTCTTTAGAATTTCCTATTCAGGCATTGTCCCCAAGGGCAGTCTTACACTCTTCTTATTTTTCCTTCTATTTCCAAGTAATATATATATGTATATATATATATTCCCAAGAGCATATATATATATATATGGGCTCTTCTTTCTGGAGAGTTTTCCTCAGCTTTATACTCTAATCCTTTTGGGGGATCTTTCATTTCTGTCACCCTAATTTTTAACATCTGACAGTTATTTCTGTTCTCTCTAAATTTTCTTCTTAAAAATAGTATCCCGGAAGGCTAGAGCGATAGTACAGCTGGTAGGTTTCTTGTCTTGCATGTGACTGACCCGGGTTCAATTCCCAGCACCACGCATAGTTCCCTGACAACCCTCAGGAGTAAGCCCTGAACACTGCCAGGTGTCGCCCCCAAACAGATCAAAACAAAAAACCAAAAATGGTATCGATGGTGGTGAGGGTGCCTGCCTTGCACATGGCCAAGCTGGGTTTGACTCCTGGAATCCTATATGATCCTCTGAGCCCTGCCAGGAGTGATCCCTGAGAGCAAGTCAAGGAGTAAGTCTTGAGCATAACCGGATGTGGCTCCCCCCAAAAAAAGAGTACCCTAAGCTTTGTGGAATAGCTATACGGTAGTCAATGAAGCTTGCCAAACTCATGATTGTTGTTAATTGAAAACTTTTCCCATTACCCCACTATGAAGATTTGAAACACAGTTGGCACTTGCAATTTTTGAAGTCTGTAGGGAAACTGGGAAAAAAAAATTCTGTTGCTGGCTAAGGAGAAAATCCAGGTGGTAGAGCACATGGCTAGCATGTGCTAGTTTAGTTCACTGAGCTCTGTCAGGTGTAATGCCTGGTGGCCCCTGAGTGCTGCTGGGGTGGCCGAGGTGGCTGTCTGGTTTAACCTAGAGTGACTCCTGCTTATTTTGGTTTCTGGGCCACACCCAGTGATGCTCAGGGCTCACTCCTGGCTCGGCACTCAGAAATTACTCCTGGCAATGCTCGGGGGGCCATATGGGATGCTGAGATAGAACCTCGGTCTGCCCTGCGCAAGGCAAGCACCCTGCTCACTGGATTATTGCTCTGGCCCTGAGCAGACCCAGTTTAAAGAACCAGTCTTCTGATCCTGCCCTACGTGCTCCTGCTCTCTGAAATCTCTCTGAGGGGCGTGATGATACTGAACTCTCTCCTCTTCCTTCTCTTATTGTGGCTCAGAAGGGATCATGCACAGTGGGTTGAAGAATCAGGGATGTAGGAGGTGTGGGCTGCTGTATGGGATGCATTACTGCTGGCACAGGTGGCCAAGAAAAAAAAAACAAATTTCAGAGTTTCCCATGTCCTGTCCCTGGGGCTGAATGTGTGCCTTTCTTGCTCCTCCGAGGGGTGCGATCATCATTTCCGTAGAGAGTCTAGAGAGGAAGGAATGAGATCATGTGTATCAGGAGCCACACACATGGGCTGGAGAGATAGTTCAGCAGGTGAGCACCTGCCTTCCCATGCGGCTGTGGAGGCTGCAGCCCTTGTTCAACTGCCCCGCACCCCATATGGTGCATTGCTGGATGTGCCCCCTTTACTGCCCCCTCAGAGAGCCATGCACATAGTGAGCAGTCAAAACTTAGTTTGGAATTTTATTTTGAAACTATCAAATATATTCTTACATAGCTTTTAAACTAAAAAGTCAGCTTCTGGAACAATAAATGTTTAATGCTCTTTGCATAATGGCAAGGAAGCCCCCATAACCTTCATTCCCACCACATATTTTTATTTGGGGGGAGTTTTTTGGGTCACACTTGGGGTGTTACAGTGGACCTGACTTAACTTCGGGTTCTTGGGGATGGCGAGTAAGTAGCACGGGCTATGAGGTGTGTTCAGAATTACAAATCTTTATTTACTGCTCACCCGGGTACACCTCTGAAGACGACTCTCCTAGAGCCATCAGCAGTAGTAAGGGGTGCAGTGGAAGTCCAACATCAACTTCTGTGTCTGGGACAGCAGCCCCAGCATGCTGTAGAGACCTAGGCTTATGTCTGTTCTGCATCCCTGCCCTTCACTGTTTCTACTCTGTGAGTGGTTATGCCCTATGTAAAGGAGGGTTTGTGGAATTGACCAATAAGATTGTTTGTTCCCTATGCAAATGAGTTTGTGTGATGACACCAATTGGCTCATGTATATAAATGAGGGACTAATCTGGGATCTTGATTATCTGGCCCCTCCCTCCTCACTTTATGCCCAGACCATTGGTGGCAAGGATTGAATCTGGGCTTCCTTAGCACGACATCTTTTCATTTTTATATTTTTGTACAGTTGAAGTTGGGGGTGCATGGGCGTGCGGGCTAGTCTCTGAAAGTCATTCTGCATCTGATAAGATTCTCTCTTGCTGGGGATGGGGTGAGACCAGTTGAAGTGGGAGAGACTGACTTGGGGTTTCCATCTGGATTGTGTTGGTTTTGTTTTGGTGATGTTCAGTGGCTGCTCCCAGCAGGGTGCATGGGGGACCAGGTCTTGGTGCCAGGGTCGAACCCAGGCCTCCCATATGCAAAGCATGCTCTCTGGTGCTTTGAGCCATCTCCCTAGCCCAGTCCATCAAGGTTCTAAGCTGGTTTTGAGCTTATGGGAAGTGGTCAAAACTGAGCCTAGGTACCTGGGTGTTTACCAAGGCCCTTTGGGGAAGGATTTGGAGTTCCATGACCTGGGTGAGGAGGACACATTGGGGTGGGCAGAAAAGGCTGGTTTGGGGCCTATGGGGGGACATTGGGTGAAGAGGACACGGGGTGAGTAGAAAAGGCTGGTTTGGGGATTATGGGGGGGACATTAGTGGTTTTTAGGATGGCTGTGGGAGATGGGATCTAATTGGGGGGTGGGGTGGGGGGCCGTGAGACAGGCACATCAAGACGGGGTGTTGACTGCTTGTGCCCTGTGGGGCTTATTGGGTGGTGATGGTAGAACTCAAGTCATGGAGGGGAAGAACCCCTCTTCACCATCCCAGCCCCCAAGAGAGACTTACTGTGGGGGCTGCAGACCCAGAGGTCTTCCTGCTGCCATGGCCTTACTGCTTATCTGAGAGGCTTGTTGGACACCAGCCCAGTCACTTATCTCCTGGTCTCCGCTGGGCCGCTGTTTCCATGGTTACGGGCGCAGGTTGTACGGGAGGCTTTCTGGAGTGGGATTAAGCAGAAGCCGGGAGGATTACCCCGTAGTCACGGTGCAGTGGGCCTGAGGAGGAGCACAGGGCTCTGGTTTCAGAGTCACACAGATGTGGACATGAGCCGGGCTCAGTCGCCTTCTGGCTGTGTGTCCTTGGGCCAGCGGCATAGGCCTTCTGAGCCTGTGCCAAGCCCCTCCTGGAGCGAAGTCACCCAGATTTTCTCCTCCCTAATGAGGTGGGAAGGGCTCTCCCCTTTTGCAAGAGGAGGAAACCCAGGCAGGGGGAGGGTGGGGAATGTGCTTGGCACATAGGGAGGGGCCACTGGGCACTGACCATCCTCCTCCCCTATTCTCTCTCCTCCTACTTCCCCCCTCCTCCCCTCCTCCTCCCCCAGCCTCCTCCTGCTCTCCCTCTCCTTCCCCTCCTCATCCCACTCCTCTCCTTCTCTCCACCTCCACCCCTTCCTCCTCCTTGTCTTCACAGGGCTGGGCCTGTCCCTTGCTGTGTGAGAGGCCCCGGTTCTGAAATTATGATATTTCATCCCCCCACCTCCCCCCTACCCACACACACAACACACGCCACTGAGCTCTCCTGTTGAGGTCGGAGTGGGAACGTGATTCCATGCTCAGGTTCCAGGGGCTGTCAGCCTTTCCTGCAAAGATGCTGGTGGGGGCGGCAGCAGGGCGAGAGGCTGATTGTGGGGGGTTCTGGTTTGTGATGGGTTGGGGGTGGGTGGAGGGGGGGGGGGAGAACCTGAACCCTGGCAGGCCCATTCAGGTCCGATTTCCCTTTGTGCCGCCAGGAGTACCTGAAGGGCCTGTGCAGCCCAGAGCTGTGGAAGGAGGTGCGCTACCCGCCGGTCCTGCACTGCGTGTTCCTGGGCGCCCAGGGCCTCTTCCTGGACTGCCTCTGCTGGAGCTCCCAGGCCTACCTGGTGCCCGGGGCGCCCGGCTCCCTGATGGTGGGTGGGCTCACCGACTCCTTCGTCCTCACCCAGAATTGGCTGGAGGAGCTGGTGGGCCGGCTGCGCTGGGGCTCTGTGCCCCTGTTCACCCCCCGCGGAGCCCGGGAGGTGGAGGTGAGCCGGGCCTTTGGCGCCCTGGTCTGGCTCCGTGCTGACCAGTACGCAGGCTGCCTGCTGCAGCTGCCCCCAGCTGTCCAGGAGCTGCTGCTGAGCCTGGTGCGGGACACCGCGGGCAAGGAGGATATCGTCGAGTGGCTGGGCAGCGTGGGCCCCTCCCCGCGCCCCTTCCTCCTGCCCAAGCAGAGCCTGGCCCTGGTGCCCGCCGGGGACAGCGCTGGGCCCTCAGTCCAAGCAGGGGCCCCCCGAAAAGGCGCCTCGGAGAACTCCAAGAGATTGTCCAGCCCGGGGAACACCCACCCGCCACCCTCCAGCACACCCGGCCAGAGCCCACCGCAGGAGGCAGCGAAGCAGCTGGTCTGGTAAGTTGTAGAGGATGCGCTGGGCTTCCCCTACCCAGGGCCCCAGGCGTGCTGGGGATTCCCGCCTTCCTAACAGGCCCGTCTCCCCCCAGGGTCAGCTCCCGCAACCAAGGTGACTCAGAGGACAGTGCTGGCAAGGAAGGGGCCTCCCAAGGCAATGGCAGCAGCCAGGACTCGGCAAACCACACACAGGCCTGGTCCCCCCAGCGGCAGGTGCAGAGGGTGGAAGACAAACTCCCCTTCCCGCCGCCTCCAGTGTCTATCCTGGGCCTGTGTCCTCCCTGGAAAGCCTGGACCCCAGCGCCTGTGGCCTTTGGGCCCCTGTGGCCGGGGGCTGTGGCTGCCACCTTCTGGAGAATCAATGAACTGCAGTCTCTCCACCTGGCCTGGCTCCTGTCTCAGGCCTACCTCACTTTCCCCTTCTGGCAGAGGCCCCTGGGCCCTATTCAGCTCAAGCTGCCGGGGCAGACGCCTGTGCCCTTAAATCTGGAGTGGAAGCCAAAGGAGCTGGTCCCTCTTCCCAGTGTGGAGAGACTGGATGGGGGGCCAGGAGGAGAGGCAGCCCTGCAGAACTGCCCAAGCCCTGAGACCCCCCACAAAGTCGTGAGCTTGTTGGTGGTTTCAGGCGGCCCCGAGGCGAAGGACCAAGCTAGCCCAGGACTCCTCCAAATTGAGCCACCTTTGCCCTCCACTCCCCAGGCACCCGCTGGAAGCGAGCTGGGGGCTCCGGGCAGTGGGAGGCAGGATTGTGAGGGGCTGGAGGGGATTCCTGTTCCAGCGCTGCCCACCGGGCCAGAGGTGCCGCCCACCGCGGAGAGGCCGGGGGCTCAGGGGGCACTTCCAACCCCGGCGGTCCTGGAAGCTCAGGTAATAATGCCTGAAACTCTCAAAGCTCCGGCGGTCCTGGAAGCTCAGACAGTGCCTGAAACTCTCAAAGCTCCGGCGGTCCTGGAAGCTCATACGGTCCCTGAAACTTTCAAAGCTCCGGCGGTCCTGGAAGCTCATACGGTCCCTGAAACTCTCAAAGCTCCGGCGGTCCTGGAAGCTCAGACAGTGCCTAAAACTTTCAAAGCTCCGGCGATCCTGGAAGCTCGGACAGTGCCTGGAACTCTCAAAGCTCCAGCAGTCCTGGAAGCTCAGACAGTGCCTGAAACTCTCAAAGTGCCTGGGGCCGCTGCCATGCCTATGACCCCAGCCCTGCCCTCAGTGCCAGTGCTCCCTGCAGCCGCCCAAGTGCCTGCAGCCCCGATGATGCTGCCTGTGGCCCCCGCTGAGCTTGCTGACCCCAGAGCGCCTTCGGCCCCGGCGAAGCCCGCGGCGGCTCAAGGAGTGTCTGCATCTCACAAGGCTGCTGGGGACCCGCTGGTGTCCACAGCGGCTGCGACGGTGCCTGCTACTGCCCAGACCCTGCCCACTCAGAAGGGGCCAGTGGCCGAAGCAGCCCCCACGGGCCGCAGAGGACCCAAGCCCCCCACAGGGCCTGTAGCTCAGACCGGAGCAGTGACTCCCAAAGGACCAGCTGCCCCCAGAGCGTCCAGAGCCCCTCAAACACCCGTGGCTCAGAAGGGATCCCCAGGTGCGAGGTCCACCTCGGACGCCACCAAGCTCCTGAGCAACGCCCCGCCTTCCCCAAAGGGCTCTGCCTCCTGCCCACAGGGCCCTCCGCTCAGCGTCCGACCTCACATGGAGGGGCTCCTGGGGGCCTGGGAGGGGACCCCCCGGCAGTCGCCCCGACACCTGCAGCCTAGCAGCACAGTGACCAGCTTCCAGAGGTTCCACGAGGCCCTGAACACGCCCTTCGAACTGGCCCTGTCCGAGGAGCCGGGAGACCAGGGCCTGCGGCGGGTGGTCATCGATGGCAGCAGTGTGGCCATGGTGTGAGTAGCCAGGGCTGCGGGGGTGTCCCGGGTGCTGCAGGTGACCTCCGGTGGGCGTGGGGTGTGGGGGACTGGGAGCTTACAGAGGGACCAGGGTGGGTGGAAGAGGCACATCTAGAGTGTCTGAGTCGGCAGCTGGGCCCTGCAAGGCTGCTTTCTGCTTCCTGTCCTCCCAAAGGCCCGGAAGTAGAAGTGGACTCAGAGAGGTGAGGAATCTTTCCCAAGAGTCCAGAGGCAGGAAGGGGCCCCACCAGCCCCACTGCCAAGGCGCACATGGCCCCACTTCAGCCTGCCTCTCACAATGTGGCATCTGGCAGCCCCAGGCCACTTGCACATGCTAGGCCCAAATCCTAAGATTCGGGGTCAGAGAGATAGTACAGGGGTTGAACCACTTGCCATGCACGCGGCCGAGCCTACTTTGATCCCTAGCACTGCGTGGTTTCCCTGGCACGGCTCGGAATGATCCGCAAACACTGAATGGGGAGTAACCCCTGAGCAGTGCTAGATGTGCTGTCCTCCTTCCTGGGCGTGTGTGTGTGTGTGTGTGTGTGTGTGTGTGTGTGTGTGTGTGTGTGTGTGTATGCAGGTAGGGGACGAGCAGCAAGCTGTAAGACGTCGTCTAGGAAGATCTTCTTGACTATCCCACCTCCAGCAGGCCCTCCCTGCCCAACGCTCCCTGCTGCTCTCTGAGTCTTCCGGGTGGAGATCTTCCCTGAGCACTCACACAGACACACAGGGAAAAGTGTGGCTTCCCTTCATACACACACACACACACACACACACACACACACACACACATACACTCAGTCGGTTGAGTGCGCCCCAGAGATGCCCACAGAACTGGGGGAGGGGAGGAAGGCAGGGTGGGCGACAGGTGCTGGTCGTGCCCCACATGCCAGGTTGACTCGGGAGGGGGAGGCAGGACCACGCCTCAGGCAGGGAGGTGGCCCCTCACTCCCATCCTCTGCACCCCCAGGCATGGCCTCCAGCACTTCTTCTCCTGCCGGGGTATTGCCATGGCAGTGCAGTACTTCTGGAACCGTGGCCACCGAGAGGTCACCGTGTTTGTCCCCACGTGGCAGTTGAAGAAGAACCGGCAGGTGCGAGGTGAGCGGTCCCCCGGAGGAAGCCCTCGCTTTTCTGCTCCTCGCTCTTGGCTCTCTGCTCCCCACCCCCTCAGCCTTTTCTCCTGAGCACCTGCCTCCGCCTGTCCCCTGCAGAGAGCCACTTCCTGACGAAGCTGCACTCCCTCAAGATGCTCTCCATCACTCCCTCGCAGCTGGAGAACGGCAAGAAGGTCACCACCTATGACTACAGGTGGGCCCCACGGAGTCCTGCGCCATCTCTGCGGGGGGCAGAGATGAAGGGGGTCAGTGAGAGGACTTGATGGGGTCATGTCGGAGAACGTGGCAGGGGTCAGTGAGGGTGTGGCAGCGGTCACTGAGAGGACATGGAGGGGGTCAGTAAGGACGTAGCAGGGGACAGTCAGAGGCCATGGTGGGGTCAGTGAGGATGTGGCAGGAGACCAGTGAGAGAGAGGACATGGCAGGGGTCATATCAGAGGATGGTGGCACACAGGCCTTCTGAGGGCAGAGGGTCACGGCAAAAAGAGGCCCAAGGGCTTTGAGGGGACCACCTGGTTGGGGCCTCCATCTGCTTCTGGGCATCACCACTGGCTTGGCTACTACACCCCCTACCCACCCTCCATGACTGCTCTAGGGACCCTGGGAATTTGGGCATCCCTGCTGTCCTCATGGGCTCCAGGCCGTCAGAGGTCTTTGCTTTGTGAGGGGCCTCCCATGCCCAGTCCGGGGAACTTCTGCTTCCCCCATGTTTCCCGGGATCTGGTCCTGACGTGGGACCCAGCACGCAGGCCTACAGGGGGCCTGGGCTGGGCAGTTGATCACCCTCACTTCAAGAGCTGGTCTCCTGGCTAGGTCCTGAAGTGCCTCCGCTGAGTTCCTCCTGGCTTTTCTGCGGGACACCCACTCCTGGGTACCTGTGAGACAGTATGCCGCCTGCGCGGGGTGGTCTGGTGTTGGGGGTGCAGTGGGGGACTTTAGTAGATTCCTGGCACTTGGGATCCTTTGTTTACTTTTTCTGGTCCCAGTCTCTTTCTGAGGAGCACAATTTTGGAGAAATGGATTGCTGAGTCAGTGTGATGCTTTCCATGTTGAAAATGATTCTTGCTTTCCTTGTTGACATGTGCGCGTGTGTGTCCTGGCCCTTGGATAGATACGGTTCTCTGGGGCAGGTGCTGAGCCAGTCCAGTCCTCAGCCCCAGAGAGCAGGCGCTTGGTGTCCACGTGTCAGATGAGGGACTGCAAGGCAGCGAGTGCGAGAATGACAAGCCTGTGGGTGTCTTAGTGATATCTGAGCTTGGATTCCGGTACCTGTGTGGAAAACGGAGTTTGTGTTTCTGCAGGGCTCTCCCCGCCCCACCCCAGCTCATGCTCCCAAGCAATTTGAGAAGGTTGCGTCTCCCTCATGCCGCCCTCCCCGACAGGTTCCAAAGCACTCAGAGGTCCAGGCCTCCTGCAAACTCTCCCCAGGGCTGAAGCTCTGCTCCGGCTGCCACACCAGGCCAGCAGAAGCCACTGAGGCAGCGGGCAGGGGGCAGGAAGCCACTCCCCACAGAGCTGAGGAGCAGCTCCCTCACTGCCAGGGTCTAGCACTCCCTCCACAGGAAGCCACCAGTCCCCATCCCTGTTCTCAAAGCTTGTCCCTCCGCGCAGGTTCATGGTGAAGCTGGCTGAGGAGACGGATGGTGTCCTCGTCACCAATGAGCCGCTCCACGTCCTGATGAATAATTCCAAGAAACACATGGTCAAGGACCGGTGAGGAGACACCTGGAACTTACACTGCTCCTTCCTCTTGACCATCGGGGCAGGAAGAGGGGCCTCTGCTGGAGGAGAAGTGGGGCTCAGTCACTGGCGACCAGGCGGGACGGGGTGGGTTGGGGTCGGCTATGTCACCGGGGCCCCTCTCTCCCTCAGCCTGCTGCCCTTCACCTTTGCGGGAAATCTCTTCATGGTGCCGGATGATCCCCTGGGCCGTGATGGCCCCACACTGGATGAGTTTCTGAAGAAGCCGAACAGGTAATGGGTCCAGGTCCAGGCACCCCTTACGGGACTCCCCAGAAACCTCTGCTTTGTGCAAGTCAGTGTTTGTCTCGTGCTCAGTGAGGGGTGGGGATTGGATCTTCTCAGGTGTTTCTACCTTTAGTGCATGTTTAATCTGCTGTGCACCACTTCTGAGTATGGTTGTGGATCTCTAGTCTGATTCTGGGGGGTGGGATGGGGTGGGGGGAGGTGTCACACCTAGTGATGCTCAGGGGTTACTCTTGGCTCTGCATTCAGGAATTACTCCTGGCAGTGCTCAGGGGACGTTATGAGATGCCAGGGATCAAACCCAGGTTGGTTGCCTGCAAGGCCAATGCCCTGCCCTCTGTACTATCACTTCGGCTCCCCCAGTGGATCTAAAGTCTTACACACACACACAGAGACACACACACAGAGACACACACACACATACAGACACTGACACACACAGACACAGATACACTTAACACACACACAGACACAGACACACACATCAGACACATACACACACAGACACACAAAGACATATGCAGACACAGGCACACACAGACACAGACACAGATACACACACACACACACACACACACACACACACACACACCCTGCATCCTTCCACAGCAGGCATCTGTGCTCAAACTTGTTTCTTCCTGGGTGCTTCATGCCAGAATTCCTTCCTTGTAGGTGCTGCTCTGTGACTGTATTTTTTGGCCCTCCCGTGGAGGGTCTCAGGACAGGTCTCAGTCACCCTGCTGGCACCTGTGTGATTGCACACAGTCTGTCCTTTTCCCTAGGCAATGGGACCTGTGCAAGATAAGTACCAAGGGGAGTTTGGTCCACATTTTGTGTCCTCTTCGATCTCTGTGATTTGAGCTGGATAAACAAAACCTGTCTTGTCATTTTTGTTTTTTTAAAAGAAGGAGCCTGAGAGGTATCAAAGGATCTAAGGCACTTGCCTTGGCTGTGACCAACCTTGGTTTGATCCCCTGCATCACGTGCTCCAGCCTCTAGCACTGCCTGGGTGGCCTGGGGCATCCTCAGCACCACAGGACCAGAGCAGGACGGCATCCTGGGGCCCTTGCAGTGAGCTGCCAGCTCAGTAGGCTGAGCATCTCCAGAAGGGGCCCCCAAGCATCCTGAGCACCACGTAGGAAACCCCCTAACAAATTTTTATCACCCTTTCCCTTCCCTCACTGTTGTGGTGGCTATGGGGCTATGCACACACTCAGCTGTGCTCACTATGTGTCTCACCCCAGGGAGCCGAGTGAGAGCCACGGATTGCATGCATGCAGGCCGGGGCTTGGTCCCAGGTGCTCACATGGGTTCTCATAGACACTCACTTCCTGGACTCTGTGCTAGTGCATTTTTTTGGGGGGGGTGCTTGCTGGGGTTGCTTTGCTTTGTGGTGGTGCTTGTGAGAGTGTACCTGGAGGGGGTGTGGCTGGAAATCAGCTGTGGTGCTGGGGGTTGCAGACCACAAGAGGCCAGGATCATGCTCAGTGCACGGAGCTGCACCGGGGATTGAACTTGAGACCATATGCTTGCAAAAAGGCACCCTATGCCCTGGTGCTCTTCTTATAGTTGAGGTATCTGGGGTACTAATAACTTTTCCAGGGATGCTGTGTGCTGGCAGAACTGGCTTGTAGTCTTCAGGTGCTCTGGCTTCCACCAACCCCTACTCCTGCCCCAGCCTCCTTGCTGCTCACCTCCTCCCTCCCCAGACCCAGTAGGGGACTGTGGTCAGCACCTGCTGGACAGGACACTTCTTTTTTTTTTTTTTTGCTTTTTTTTTGGTCACACCCGGCGTTGCACAGGGATTACTCTTGGCTCATGCACTCAGGAATTATTCCTGGCAGTGCTTCAGGGACCATATGGGATGCTGGGAATCTAACTCGGGTTGGCCGTGTGCAAGGCCAACACCCTACCTGCTGTACTAGCTCTCTAGTCCCTGGAAAGAATACTTCTTTCTGGACTGGCTCTCTTGGGGTTGGGGAAGAAATAATGAAGGTGCGATTTGTCTGCTGTGGCCACCCCAAGTTCCCCTTCTGGTGACTTGCTCTGCCTGGGGTCAGGTTGAAGGTGCCACTTACCAAATTATTATCAAACTGATGGCTGAGCCTGCTTGGCCACTGAGGTTTTGACTGGTTGAGCCTCAGAGCTCAGTTGAGTCTCAGCTTGGGGTCTGGCCCTGGCTGATAGGGGGACACTTAGGGGTGGGATATCTCTTACCACTTCCATCAACACCCTCAAGCTGCTCTGCCATTTGGATGTAGGTGGTGGTTTTTATTTGGGGCCATGCCTGGTGGTGCTCAGGGCTAATGCCTGGCTCTGTGCTCAGGAAATCACTCCTGGTGGTACTCAGGGGACCGTATGGGATGCCGTAGATGGAGCCCAGGTTGGCCACATGCAAGGCAGCCTCTGACCCACTGTCCTATCTCTCTCTGGCCCCTGTTTTGATGTAGGTTGGACACTGATGTCGGCAACTTCCTGAAGGTGTGGAAGACTCTTCCTCCCCGCCCGGCCCGTCTCACTGAGCTCAGTGAGGAGGATACCCTGGAGCCCCAGGAGAACCCACAGGAGTTGGTGAAGGAAATCAGGGAGGAGGAGAGGCGGCAGGAGCACCAGGAGGAGGGGCTGGAGGTACAAGAGCCAGGGGGGCAGGAGCCGGGGGTGCAGGGAGAGGGGCTGGAGGTGCAGGAGCCAGGGGAGAAGGAGCCAGAAGTGCAGGAACTGGCCGAGGAAGATGACGACGAGGGCTCTCTGCTGGCGTCCGTGTTCAGACTCGAGTGCCCTGTGCTCTCAGAGGAACTCCTCCGGTGTCTCAGTCTCCCGGAGGCCCCCCACGGGGTCCTGGACATCGATCTCCTGCCGGGGCTACCTTCTCCCTCCCTGGGGGTCCCCTGGGACGGGAAGCCCCCCTGTCAGCAGGTTCTCGCCCACCTGGCCCGGCTGACCCTCCCCAGCAACTTCACTGCCCTCTCCTTCTTCCTGGGGTTCATGGACTCGCACCGGGACGTCATCCCGGACTATGAAGCTTTGGTGGGCCCCCTGCACAGTCTCCTCCGGTTGAAGCCCGACTGGCGGTGGGAGCGTGAGCACGAGCTCGCCTTCCTGGCCCTGAAGCGCAGCCTGGTGTCCGCCCTCTGCCTCTCGGCCCCCGATGCCCAGCTGCCCTTCCGCCTGGAGGTGCTGGTGAGCCAGGTGGCGCTGACTGCCGTCGTCTACCAGGAGCACTCGGGGAGGAGGCATCCGGTCGCCTATACCTCGAAACCCCTGCTCCCCGACGAGCAGGGCCAGGGTCCCCAGTCTGGGGGGGACAGCCCCTATGCAGTGGCCTGGGCCCTCAAGCATTTTTCCCGTTGCATCGGGGACAGCCCTGTGATCCTGGACCTCTCCTATGCGGCCCGGCCTTCGGGGGGCGCCGGGGGGCTGGAGGCCTGCCAGAGCCCCGACAACGCATGGCTGATCCGGTGGAAGCTCTTGGTCCAGGACAAAGGCAAGCGGACTCTGGAGCTGACCCTGCTGCAAGGCCTCCTGGGAGAGAACCGGCGGTTGATGCCCGCGGCCGCCCTCCCGCGCTGTTTCCAGGCGCTGCCTCCCCTCTCGGACCTGTCCACCTTCGTCTGCATCCACATGTCCGGCTATTGCTTCTCCCAGGATGACGACGAGTGGTGCTCGGGCTTCGGGCTCTACGTCTTGTCGCCCTCCAGCCCCCCGGTGTCCCTTTCCTTCTCCTGTGCCCCTTCCACACCCACCTACGCCCACCTGGCCGCTGTGGCCTGTGGCCTGGAGCGCTTTGGCCAGTCCCAGCACCCTGTGGTCTTCCTCACCCACTGCAGCTGGATCTTCAGCATCTTGTGGGAGCTGCTGCCCCTCTGGCAGGCCCGGGGCTTCCTCTCCTCCGACGGGGCGCCGCTACCTCACCCTGACCTGCTCTCCTACATCATCGCCCTCACTTCCGGCCTCTCGGCCCTCCCGTTCATCTACCGAACCTCCTACCGGGGCTCCCTGTTTGCTGTGACGGTGGACACTCTGGCCAAGCGGGGTGCACAGGGCGAGGGGCCGCGGTGGGACTTACCAAAGGACGTGCCCAGCCCCGTGGTGTCTCCCCGGGCGGCAGGCAAGCGGCCCGACTTGCTGGCCTTGCAGCTGCGGGACAGCACCCTGGCCGACACCATCGCCAAGCTGCAGAGCGGCCAGCGGCCGCCGGGCTCGTCCCCTTTCGGCTCCGTCTACAGCTCGCTCAGCCTCGACCGCGAGAGCGGCCTGCTCATGTTCAAGGGGGAGAAGAGGCCCCGGGTCTGGGTGGTCCCGAGGCAGTTGCGGCGGGATCTGATTTTCTCCGTGCATGACCTGCCCGTGGGGGCCCACCAGAAGCCCGAGGAGACCTACAAGAAGGTGCGGTTGCTGGGCTGGTGGCCGGGGATGCAGGAGTACGTGCGCACTTACTGCCGGAGCTGCCTCTTCTGCACCCCCCAGAGCCCCGGGGGCGGGGAGCTGAAGGTCATCGAGTCCCTGTGGCCACTCAGATCCACCGCGCCCTGGGCCAACCTGCAGATCGAGGTGGTGGGCCCGGTGACGGCCAGTGAGGAGGGCCACAAACACGTGCTGATCGTGGCCGACCCCAACACCCGCTGGGTGGAGGCGTTCCCCCTGAAGCCCTACTCGCATGCGGCCGTGGCGCAGCTGCTGCTGCAGCACGTGTTTGCCCGCTGGGGTGTGCCCGTCCGCCTGGAGGCGGCCCAGGGCACCCAGTTTGCCCGCCACGTCTTGGTGAGCTGCGGGCTGGCCCTGGGCGCCCAGGTGGCCTCCGCCAGCCGAGACCTCCAGCTGCCCAGCCTAAGCAGCTCAGGCGCCTACTGGGAGTTCAAGCGGGCCCTCAGGGAGTTCATCCTCCTGTACGGCCGCCACTGGGCCTCCTGCCTGCCCCTGCTGCACCTGGCCTTCAGGGCCTCCTCCCTGCAGGACACGCCCGTGCAGATCCTCATGGGGGCCGAGGGCAGGCTGTCCGGGCCCCTGTGGTGGGAGATGAGCGGGGCTAACATCCAGGGCCTGCACATGGACAATTTCCTGCGGCAGCTGACCCCCGAGCTGCTGGAGCTGCACTGGAGGGAGGCCGACAAGGCCAGTGAGAAGGCCGAGAACCGGCGCTTCCTGCGGGAGAGCCAGGAGAGGGAGTGGAAGGTGGGCGACCAGGTGTTGCTGCTGTCCCTCCCCAGGAATGGCAGTGGGGCCAAGTGGGTGGGGCCCTTCTACATTGGGGACCGGCTGAGTCTGTCCCTCTACAGGGTTTGGGGCTTCCCCACCCCCGAGAAGCTGGGCTGCATCTACCCCAGCAGTCTGATGAAGGCCTTTGCCAATTGTGCCACCCTGTTGCCCCTCAACGTCCTAGAGCAGTGAGCAGGGGTCTGCCCCTGGGTCCAGGGGTCTGCTGCTAGACTTCTCTGCACACTGCCCACACCCCAGCCTCCCGGACCCTGGGCCGAGTGGGCGCGGGGGGGTCCTCAGTTGTGCCTTTTGTAGAGCACTTAAGCTTTGCTGAGTTGCCTTGAACTCCAAAGAGATGCTGTCCTCCCCATTTGGGGCTTTGGGAAACTTCCCAAAGCTGTCAGGTGTGCCCCCCCCCCCCCAGCAGTTTTACCCCGGGGACTAACGTCCTCTTACTAAGCCAGGCCAGGCTCAATGGCTTTCTCAAATATCTTCTTTGTTCTGACACAAGTGTGTGCAACTCTACACACATACCACACACCTATACACCCGACACATGCTACACCTACACAACACGTCCCAGCAACAAGCACACACACCACACAGCTTGTCACAAACACACCCCGAGACAGCACCTCCTACACAGTACATACTCTGTCACACGCACACACTGCATACACACCCCAAATGCCCTAACAACAGCACACACACATACACACAGAACACACTCTCCTGTCAGAACCATGGAAAATGATAGTCCTGGACCCATGACTCCGAGCCACATTCCCCTCTCAAAGAGAAACCGTGAATGTGGGCTCCCGCCCTGTTCCGCTCTCTTGGGACCCCTTTGCCCTTGATGGTGTCACCGCTGACCCACTCATGCAGACCATAGAGACAGCTTGCAGCCGTCCCCAGCTGGTCATGCTAAATGGGACCATCATGTCCCCTGCCCTGTTTGTCAGCTGGGAAGGGTATAGAAGACTGAGTCAGTCTACCTCATCTGACTCCAGCAGATGGAGACAGCCCTGAAACCCTGACCCCCACCCCTGCTTCCTGGGGTCAAGCCCACGGGAAACAAGAGTCTTGATGCCACATACGGCATCTCTACCTGAAGAGCTGCTTCAACTAGATGGAGGGGCCTAGGCCTCTGTTTTTGATTTTTTTTGGGGGGTGGTTCTGAAATGAGGCTCTACCTCCCAACTTGCCCAAAGTCCTCTCCTTTCACCCCCACATGACTTACACCCCCAAACCGTACCATGTGTGACTGCTTTGAATGGCTTGCCCCTTCCCCACCTAATGTGGCATGAAATCCTGAGCCCCTCTGTCACGGAGTGTGAGTCAGACTGGGGTGTGTACTTCTGCTTACCCCTGCATCGCTCCTGCCCCTCAGGGTGGACTCAGGAGACAGCCGACACCACGACACTCTGGCTGGGCCTTGGAGTCATTTGTGTTCTCCCAGGCTGAGCCCATCTCCTGGCCTAGCACACTCAGGCTGCCAAAGAACTTGGCATTGCTAGAGCCAGAGTGGAACTTAGATGGCTAGTGTTGTGTGTGTGTGTATGTGTGTGTGTGCACACGCATGCACATGTGCCTGTGTGCATGCTACAGTTGAGGGAAGAGACCAGAGGGGGAGTGATTGCTGAAAGGCACCTGGCTAATCTGTGGCAGACCTGGGACTAGGATTAAGTTTCTGATTTGGTCCCATGATATAGTCTGAGGACAGGTTGTTCAAGAAACCCTTCAATGGGCTGGAGCGATAGTACAACAGATAGGGCGTTTGCCTTGCACATGGCCAATCTGGGTTCAGTCTCCTGCATCCCATATGGTCTCCTGAGCACCGCCAGGTGTGATTCCTGAGTGTAGAGTCAGGATAACCCCTGAGCATCACCATTGTGACCCCAAAGAAAAACTAAAATCCCTCAAACCAGCCATATATACATTCCAACAGCACCTCATTTCCTGAATCTTGTACATAAACTACTTAGATGTTGCCCTTTTTTTTAATTATTATTATTTCCAGCTATCAACTCTGTCCAGGAAAGTGATTGGGTGACAGCTGAGGAAAGAAAGGTGGTCGTATAGAGGAGACACGCTTTCCTCCTTCGCTTCTTTCCCTTCTCCTGCTCCTGCCTTGAATACAGCGTTCAGCCTCAAGTTCTCTTCCTGACACACTCATTCCCATTAGTCACATTTATACTCAGATACCTCTTTTGTGTGACCTTTTTACCCCATTTGATTTGTCAATAAATGGATCCAAACAGAACAAGTGGCCTGTTCATTTTTTAGTTACTGCTCGGTTATGAGGGTGGGAAGGGTGGGGTCAGGGCTGCCGGGTGTCCCCCAGGACTCCAGGAAGATGTGAAGAGCCTTCCAAGTTGAGCTGATCCAAGCTCTGGTGATATAGAGGTGGCCAGTCTCCAGGCCACTGATGTGCTATAAGGTTCCAGGCAGGGTTTTTGTCAGTCTGGGAGAGAGCCAGTTACACAGGCTCCTATGCTAGTGCTCTTCTTGGTTGTGGAAAAAGCAAAACTCAACCTAGGAGATGGTTATTATTTGCCAGGCTGGGGATTGAATCCAGTTTGTCACATATGCAAGGCAGGTGTTCTGCCACTGGACTCTATCCCAAGCCTTCAGCTGAGAGAAAAAAAAAATTTCTCCTCCTTTTCTTCCCCTTCTTTTCTCCTCTCCCCTTGTTATTTAATTTTATTATTTTTTAAGAACAAACACAGTTTGGGAATGGAGAGATAGCACAGTGGGTAGGGCATTTGCCTTGCATGCGGCTGACCTGGATTCGATTCCCAGCGTCCCATATGGTTACCCAGCACCGCCAGGAGTGATTCCTGAGTACAGAGCCAGGAGTAATCCCTGAGCATTGCCGGGTGTGACCCAAAAAGCTAAAAAAAAAAAAAAAAAAAGAACAAACATAGTTTATGTCTTGTTTGTAAGCAGACAGGGTGGTAGTGAAGATCAGTAGATCGGTAAGGACTGGCAGGAGAGAGCAGTTCAGTGTGGTCCAGCCTAGTTAGTTGCGCTGGCTACCTCAGAGAAATCTCTGCCTGGGGATGTGGCTCAGAGAAAGAACATGCTGGGAGTGACTGAGGCCTGAGGCTCCCTCCCCGGCACCAGACACACGAAAGAGTGAAAAATAAGGAGATTTGGATACTGACTTTCTACCTGCTACCTGTTCATCTGGTCTCCTGAAACTCTGGTGGGATAAAAATTCCCAGATAATGCAATGGTGCAGGTGTTACATGAAGTCTCGTGGAAGAGGTCCCTGCTGCCATGTGGAGTTGACATTCATCTCTATTAAGCACTTGCTCGTGTGACCTTCAAATCCTTACCCCTTGTGGTATGGCATTAGGGAATGAGACCTTTGGGAGGTGATGAGGTGATGAGGGCTACAGGAGGTGAGTTGAGGTAGAGCCCCCTTGCAGGAGAAAGAAGCGAAGTCTGCTCTCTCCACCATGTCAGGAGTGAGGAGACAGCTGTCTGCCGCTGGGTCTGGACCTCTGGCACCTTGATCTTGAATATCCACCTCCTGAATGTAGGGAAATGAATCTGTGTTGAAGTCTTTCTGTCAGGGGTGTTTTTGTTTTTCTTGGAGCAGCCTAAATTACCCTAGAAGACTGTGAGCTGCTCCTTGTACCTCTGCCCCCCCCCCCTTTGTTTTTGGGCCACTCTTGGAAATACTCAAGGCTTACTTCTGACTCTGAGCTCAGGAATTACTCCTGGTGATATTCCGGGGACTATATGGGATGCCAGGGATTGAACCTGGGATCACTGCGTGCATGCCTAACTCCCTACCCACTGTACTATCATTCTGGCCACCTCTGATCCTCTTGCCATCAACGCCCCGTGGGTCCAGAAACCTGCGTGCTGGCAACTTCCCAACATGGTGCCTCTGCTTCTCGCGCGGCCTTTCTCACCCGAACAGGTGCCAAGGGGCAGGATTGTGGGAGCAGTAGTATCAGACAAGCCAAGGTATGTTTGCTTCCACACCAAGGCCAACACTAGCAAGACAAGAACTGGGATGAGAGAAACAGGCGGAGCGATAGCACAGTGGGTAGGGCGTTTGCTTTGCACGCGGCTGACCCGGGTTTGATTCCTCTGCCCCTCTAGGAGAGCCCAGTAAGCTACCGAGAATATCCCGCCCACATGGCAGAGCCTGGCAAGCTACCCAGGACATATTCAATATGCCAAACAGTAACAACAAGTCTCCAGATGGAGATGTTACTGGGCCCCCAACAGGGAGGACAGTGCTACAGTATTACAGTGCTACCACCTGCAAAGTTGGACAGTGCTACAGTGTTACAGTGCTACTACCTGCAAAGTTGATGGGTCTGGTGTCTCCCCTCTGGAAACCTTGTTCTCAGGCTGGCAGAGCAAACAGGCAGGGGCTGGTGAGGGAGCCCATATCAGTGGCTTGGTGAAGTCTGTGGGGCAGGCTGACCTGTTGCTTATAAAACTGAAGATAACTCTGCAATCAGGGTGACGTCAACCTTTGGTGAATCAGATGTCTGTTGTTTGTTCTTTTCCTGACTGGCTCCCCGTTTATCATGGAACACAGTTTATAGAAACATTTATTAATTCAAGGGAAAGGTGGAAGCAATGGGGCAAGAAAAAAAACTTTAAAGTTTCCATGGTGATTGGGATCTGGACGGAATTTGCAATACCTGAGGGCACGTAGGAATGCCAGACAGTGCACAGAGAACCCACCAGCCCACCACCCTGCGGGTACAATGCCTCATCTGGGGTATGGCAGGAAGCCTCTGAGTTGCCATCCTTGCCTAGCTTTGGGGTGGATGGTTGAAGCAGGTGACAATTCAACAAGCAAACACAGCCTAAGGGGCTAAAATGCCTGGGCTCTCCCCTCATGTTGTTCAGCAACATGTTGTTTTTCCCTGAACTCTTTATAAGGTTGTGTTGTTGTTGTTGTTGTTGTTGTTGTTGTTGTTTTGTCACACCTGGGGATGCTTGGGACTTGTTCCTGGCTCTATTCCCCAGGATCACTCCTGAAGGAACTTAGAGGAACATATGGGATGCCAGGGTTCACAACCCAGGTCTGCTTCATGCAAGGCAAGTGCCTTAATTGCTGTACTAACACTGTGGCCCCCTCAATATAAGTTTTTTTTTTTTTTAAAAAAACTATCTTATCTATTTTTTTCTTTTTGAGTCACACCTGGTTACGCTCAAGGGTTACTCCTGGCTCTGCACTCAAGAATCACTCCTGGCAGTGCTCAGGGGACCATATGGGATGCCAGGGATGGAAGCCAGGTCAGTCAAGTGCAAGGCAAATGCCCTACCCACTATACTAAAGCTCCAGTCCTCAATCTAAGTTTTGACATAAATGTTATGCCCTTTTCTTCCTTGAAGGGTGTCATTCTCCCTCAGCTAATAAATGGTACAATTTCATTTGAGTTTCCATATTCAAAGTAGATGGTAAAAAGTGCATCAGTTGCAGCTGGATTGTAAAACCCCATTGAATTGGAACCTCACACACTAAATTAATAAATATGGGTGAGTATGAGAAAGAAGAGGGTGCCAAAGGGGTCATTCAGGATGTATGGAGAACTATGTATGGAATCCAGGGATGTGAGTGAATACCACTCGCATCACTCACTGAAAATTGCTACTCGAATCTGTCTCACTGAAAGGCAAAAGCCCCAGCAGGAACCCTTCCCACTGCCAAAGCAACAAACCCACCTTTGTCCTCAGGTCCATGGATGTGAGAGTAAGTATCACTCACATTGAAAAATGAGGTTGAGGAGAAGAGACAAATACAATGACTGGTGCATGTCTGGGGCAGAAGGGAGGGCCTGATTACAGCATGGAGTATGGGACTAGAGAATACACTTAGAGAGGGAAGACTAGCTCCATCAGGCTTGGTTTCAGATGGTATTATACTGTGTCTGAATTTTTGGAAGGTAGGAGCGAGAAGGAATACAGGCGAATATGGACATAATTGGCACAAGAATGGAAATCAGGCCTCTGAGGCAGCCTGGGTGGAATCTCGAGGAAAGCCAATATTTTACAGTGGGACAAAGGTCGAGGAACCTAAAAAAAAAGCTGATCAAGAAGTGGAGGTAACCCCGCGAGCGGCTCTCCAGCACGGCCATGGCCCCAGAAGCACAAGGACTTAATGCAGAACCCAGCAGCTTGGAGCAGAAAAGTGAATGGACTATGCGTTGATCCAGCCCATCAAGTCTGCCGGAGGGGAAAGGGTGTTGCCCCATTTGCCCTCTCCTCTCTGGAAAGAAAGATGGCGGCCACATGGGAGCCTTGTGGACAGCAGGTATGAGCCGGGAGTGTGGGGGCGACTAAAACCTCATGGGAAGGGGGGCGTTTCGCTCCGCCCTTCACGCCCTACCGAGGCCACCGGTTGCCCCCCGCGAGCGGCTCCCCAGCATGGCCACGACTCCAGAACACAGAAACCAAGTTCTTAACTATCTGACTTTCAGTAGAAATACTTCCAGGGTCAATAGGTAAAATAGCAGAAATCCAAAACCAACATTTAATTCTTGAACCCAGCTGTAGAAAGCAAATCACTTCACAATGCTTTTTCAGCATGTCTGATTTGGGGGGGGGGGTAAACTCTAAATAATAGTGGTGAATCTTTTATTGAAACAATGAATCTAATCAAAGCAGAAAAAAAAAAGTGGAGGTAAAATCCAGAGAGTGCTTCTCTGTGGCCACAAAACTATATGAGAGGGAGAGCCAAGAAACTGACGAATCCTTATCTAGGCAGTGCTGTTGATTTAGGGATACAGCAGTGGTGAGCCACTAGCCAAGGGCACCTTAGGTGGAGGTCATGGTAGACTTAAGAGGCGGGTTCTGGGGAGCACAGAGATTTAGTTCCGCAGATATTTGGAGTTGACTCAGACTTTCAGTGGGGGGATGGAGAGCTGAGGACACCTGTCCTCTTTGGTTTTTAGATTTAAGAATCTGGAGTCTATTTAACTGTGGAAGGGACGGTGAAAGGCAGAGGGAGAAGCTGGATGTACAGACCTGAGCAAGGAAGAGAGAAGAGGATGCTGGGAGGAAGTGGGGTCCCTGGTTTGTGGGCGAAGATAGCCGCTTTTGCAGAGGAAGGTGTGAGCGTTCTACTGAATGAGATGAGAGGAAGTGGACATGAGAAGAAAGGTGAGTTTGTAGCTCTGGGGGTGGGAAGAGATCCCGCTAGGGCCTCTGCTTTTTAGTGAGGCAGAAGGCCAGGCTGACTGTGCTCACACAGGTGGTAGAGGAGAGAAGGGAAGGGAAGGTTTCAGTGAGTTCCAGAAGATGAGGGAAGATGTTGGTGAATGAAACTACAGAACTGCTCAAGGCTAGGTAGATAGTTTCAAAGGCTGATCACATGCATTGCACACAGGAGACCCTGTTAAATCCTGGCACCACATGGTCCCCCAGCACTGTTGGGAGCAGACCCCCAACCCACTACCCACCACCAGCACAGAACAAGGAGTAGCTCATGAACATCGATGGAGAAAAGCATTCATTCCAAACTTAAGTTCTCTTATGTATACTTCAAGAGAGTTGCTACTATGTCAGCTTTTCTGAAAGCATCTTACATTTTAGTAAGGCACACACACAAGGATGATGAGATGTATTATGTCCGCACTTAAACCAATTATTAATAATGGGGCTTATTTTTTTTTTCTTTTTGGGTCACACTTGGTGATGGATAGGGGTTTCTCCTGGCTCATGCACTCAGGAATTACTCCTGGCGGTGCTCTAGGGACCATATGGGATGCTGGGAATTGAACCCAGGTCAGTTGCATGCAAGGCAAACGCTCTAGCCGCTGTGCTATTGCTCCAGCCCCAATAATGGGGTTTAATTCTTATTTGAAAAAAAATTTTAAATTTTATTTTGGATGCCAAGGATCAAACCAATTTATTTTTGGTGCCAGGGATCAAACCTATATGTGGAAGGCAAGGGCTCTGCTGCTCAGCTACAGCCCTGGCCCCCACAGAGTTTTTCCATTTGAGGTGGGCCCTGTTTGGGTTCAGATTTCTGCACTTGGAGATCTCGAAGAGCATTATCTTGACTTAGACAAGTTGTGAATTATGAGTTCTTGGTTGGGATCTGGGAACTGGTTTATCTACTAAGGTGGTTAAAATTGGAGTCAGTGCTTAGCTGGTCTATTGAGGAACTTTTTGAACTCACACATTTTCCATATATCTGGTCCAGTGTGTGATTGGTTACCTTTAAAATTTTTTAAAATGAATTATTTATTTATTTATTGCGGAGAATGGTGGGTACACCTGGCAGTGCTCAGGGGTACTTTCTGGTCTGCATTCAGGAATCGCTCCTGGCAGCCTCAGAGGACCATATGGGATCAAACCCGGGTTAGCTTCATAAAAGACAAGCACTTTACCCACTATAATGTCGCTCCAGCCCCTATGTGGAGTGTTTTTTAATAAATATATGATTCAGGTGGTGGGCCTTAAATTGAGGAGATTAAGTAGGACACTTGCCCTGCACACGGCGGACCTGGGTTAGATTCCTCCGTCTCTCTGGAGAGCCCGGCAAGCTACCTGTATCTCGCCTGCACGGCAAAGCCTGGCCAGCTACCGGTGAGGTATTGAGCGAATTGATGAACAATGGGAGGACAGTGTGTGTGTTATTTATTTTACCTTATTTAATATTTAATAATGTTTGAAAAAGTTAAATTCTTTTGAAAACCACAAATTTAACATAGGTATTTCCTACTGAACTCAAATCTGTTTTGTTTTTTTCTTGTACTGCGTCTACAACTGGCTGAGCTCAGGGGTTATTCCTGGCTCTGTGCTCAAGAGTGACCCCTGGTGGTGCTTGGGGGACCATATATGATGCAGGGACATCAAACCAGGGTCAGCTGCATATAAGGAAATCACCTTAATTCTACACTATCTCTCCTGTTCCAAACCTATGTTTGAAACTTTCACTCTAATATATATTTCACATTAGTCTTCTCTACAACCTACCTGCTTGTATTGTAACCTCTGATCCAGCTGTAATGGCATTTTTCTCCAATGATCTAGTGCCTCAGCGACCATCATTCTCTAGTTACTTTATTAATAGATTTATCCATGCTGGTTTATGGGAACAGTGAGGGAGTTGAGACAGACAGATGGGGGGGGGTCAAGAAGGTGGGGAGAGAGAGAAAAAACTTTACAATACTGGCTGAGGGATGATGGAGGGAATTCAAAGGAATAGGGAGTTTAAGAGCAAATAAGATGGTACAAATCAGGAAAGAGAAGAGAGGTTGAGGGATGGTCTGGAAGAGGAACAGTGAAGACAAGAGAGTGGGGAGAAAGTGGACATTGGGGCGTGAAGGTTAAAGCTTAGGAAGCAGAGCAGTGTTAGGTGGCCGTGTTGCATGAGTGGAGAGTTATACTTGCCCATGTGGGACCTTCCATCTTCTGAACTAAGTTCAGTTCACCTGTTCTTGGCTAGAGCGCACACCTCATTTCACGGGCAAGCAGGTGAATGCTAGCATCCATCTGGGACCTGGCACAGATGAACACCCGAGCTTCCTGCCAGCCAGGTGCTCCAAACACCTGAAAACTGTAGCTCCTGCTCAGGCTGGGTGCCAGCCTCCTTACCCCCTTCCTTCCCCAACCCCTCCCAGCAAGCCAGCATCTTCTCGGGGCTCTGTGGGCTGTCTGCTGGTGGTTGGGCCTCCTGCCACACCCCTGTGGTGCTGTTCCAGCTCAGGGATCTGCTGGCAGAGATCCTGACGCTGGCACTCCTCACTGGAAGGGGCCTGCCGGGTCCGCTGAGGCTGATCCATCTGGGCAACGGTGGGGGGGCCCCATCAGGCTCACCTGTGCCATCTGTCCCCAAATAGCACTGCACAGAAAGCTGGGGGGTGGGGAGGGAGCTGGAGAAGCAGACCCTGCAAAGCCATACATCCCACCCTGCCCCACCCTGGGGCTGCAGGTACAAAGAAATGGAAGCTGGGAGGGAAGTGGTGTGTGTGTGTGTGTGTGTGTGTGTGTGTGTGTGTGTGTGTGTGCATGTGCGTGCGTGTGTGTGTGTGTGTGTGTGTTGTGTAGGGGTGGGGTGAAGGGTAGGGTTGGGTGAAGCAGAACCAGATCCTGCTACAACTCTCCTCTTCATCTTGGGCACTTGGCACAGGGTCCCATGCAAGGCGGTGGAACACAGGCAGTGGGGGAGGCTCTCTCCTGTCGCAAAGATCCTGCTTCTGGGGCAGGAGAGGGCAGGCAGAAAGTGAAGGTTAGGGCCTTGAGTTCTGTCCTCGATTGGCCAGAGCCTTCAGAGGGGGAAGATGAGGAAGCCAGAGAAGCTGGAGTATTTCCAGCCCCCCAGAAGATTTCCCCGCCGAAGGCGCAGGGACACTCGATCCCCGGGGTCCAAGGGCAGGAGGACAGAGCTGGTAGCTGCCTCCCGGGTCACATCGGGGTCGTTGGCGAAGGCTGAGATGACGGGCCAGGTGTTCAGCATCAGGCTCACCTGGGGAGGGGAGCCCAGTTAGCACCTTCCCAGGCTGTGCCTGAGGACTGCCACTTTCCCCAAGGCTTCCCTTTTCCTTCTAGCCCTAGATGGACACTCAGGGATTCAGGCGTGCAAGGGACTCTGCTGGGAGGGTTGGGGTAGCTGGTGTGACACACCCCAGACTCGCTAGGTGAGCCCTTTTCCTCCTAGTTACCCAAAACGTAGACCAAGAGAGACACTGTCTCCACAGGAACCAGGTCTGCTGGGCAAGTCTTAGATCCCTTCCTCTTTTTTTCCTTTTTGGGTCACACCTAGCGATGCCCTAGGGGCCACTCCTGGCTCTGCAGCCAGAAATTACCCCTGAGCGGTGCTCAGGGGACCATATGGGATGCTGGGAATCGAACCTGGGTCAGCTGCATGTGCGGCAAACGCCCTACATGCTGGGCTATTGCTCCAGCCCTGATCCCTTCCTCTTTTCCTTCTATATGGTGCTGAGATCTGGGGTCCCCTCCCCAAAATTCTTGACCAACTAGGTTGGCAATTCAATGTAAGGACCCAAGGATGCAATGCTGATCGGGCCCTTCACTCTCAGGGTTACCTAGGCGACCCCAGTAACGCTGGGGACCTCCAGGGCCACACCCAGCAGTGCTCAGGGTACACCGGGCAGTGTGCGGGGGTGTTCTGGATCAAACTTCGAGAATTTAGTCTGGGTCTGGCACAAGCCGAGCATACATTGTATCACCCGCCCTCTGCTAGCTCACCTTCCTTTTCCTCCAGTTTCCTTCTTGGAATAAGGCAGTCTCTGGTGACTCAGGGATCACACCCATAAGCCACACCCTGTCAGCACCAGATAATCTCCTCATGGGCCACCCTCCAGAACTCTGCTCCTTCCAGACAGGAGTATAAAATGAGGCCCCCATAACCATGCCACCAGACTCCGTGCCAGTCTGTTTTTACTTGGGGTGCCCCAGAGTAGGGCAGGTGAGAGCCTTCCCCGTCCCAAGGGACCCAGCCCTGGCAGCCGACCTGCATTACGCAACCACCGCCATGCTCCAGGCTGCTTTCTGGACACATTATAGGACACTTTCTACCTATTGTCCATAATTGCCACACCATATTTGATGAGCTTCAGACAGTAGGCAACAAATCATAGAGAGAAATATATAAATATATGCCTCTCGGCAAGCTACCGAGAGTATCCCGCCCTCATGGGCAGAGCCTGGCAAGCTCCCCGTGGCGTATTCGATATGCCAAAACCAGTAACGACAACAAGTCTCATTCCCCTGACCCTGAAAGAGCCTCCAATCATTGGGAAAAGACTAGTAAGAAGAGGCTGCTAAAATCTCAGGGCTGAGAGGAATAGAGATGTTACTGTTGCCCTCGGGAGTAAATTGACGAACAACATGACAGTGATACAGTGATACAGTGATGGTGCTGGTTTTTGAGCCTAGGTGCTCACACAGAAGGCAGGCGCTCCCCACTGAACCACAAGCCCTCCTTTCTGGACTGAGAGGGGGATGGGGCGTAGTCACCTGGACAGTCTGGCGGTTGTACACCTTCACCACGTGGAAACGGAAGCTGTAGACGCCCCGGACAGGGGCCACGAAGGAGCCTGAGGTCCGGTCAAAGGCGCCGCCCTCATTCACCAGGACCTGGGGGAGCAGAGCCTGCTGATGGGGGCTCAGGAAGGGGGCTGAGAGGGAGGGGGAGGAAGAGGTGCAAGCAGGGACTGGAGGACAGAAGGGAGGGGTGTAGGCCGAGTGTGGGAGGGGGTCAGGCAGTGGGGTTGAAGGCCAGCAGACTGCCTTGGGGAGACACGTCCTTCAGGTCAGGGGACTCAAGTGGCCGGCTGCAGGTCCTGCAGGGCTGGCGTTACCTGGTCGAAGTAGATGGCCCCGATGGTGCCGTTGCCAGCATCCCCTGCCGGCTCATGGTGGTGGCTTCGGACCGCGGCAAATGCTACTCTTCCGGGGGGTGCCTCTCCCAGGGCTGCCCCTCCTGGCCCCCCCGCCACAGCTCGTCCAGGCTCACAGACCACCAGGCACTCACCCTCCAGAAGGACGGGCTCTGTGCCCTCCTGGGCCCACCCAGCCCCCAGGGCCAGGAGCATCAGCGCCGTGGGCACTACCTGGGGCTGCTTTGGTCCCAGCATGGCTGAGCGGCTGTGGGGTCTGGTCCCCTCTTCCAGCTCCTCTCCCCAAACTTTAAGACCCCTCTGCCCGCTCCTCAGCCCTCTTTCTGCAGCTCACTGACACTCGCTCCTGGTCTCCTTCTCCATACGGCTCTGTGCCCTGTGGCTGTCCTACCTCTTGCCACCTGCGGTCACCACAGCCCCCGCCTCCTTGGCAGGGCAGTGACAGCAGGTGGATTCTGGGAGAGAGAGAGAGAGAGGAGGGATGAGACAGCCAGCTAGGAGGGTTCCAGCCAGAACCCCAGTGCAGTTCCTCTGGCGGGGGATGGGTGGGGTGGGGAAAGCTAGAACTGGGGAGCACAGAGAAAGAACTGGCTATGTGCTTGTGAGATACCACTACTGCCCCGGCCTCCCCGCTTCTAAAGGAAAGGGGTATCTCTGTAGTGCTGCAAGAAAGGGGGTACCCTGCTCTTTTCCTCGCCATCGTTTTGGGGGTTAAAAAGTGTTTGGGCCAACAATGTCACCTTCTGTCCTTACTGGGTCTTCCATTTCTTCCACGAAGGGGCTGCATTCGGCCTTTGAGAGCCCTTTCACTATTCCCTTGCCAAAAGCCCCGTCGAGGAGATATCGAGGCCTCCTAGGACCCGCAGTCTGGGGAGGGGCCCGGTCGACTCCGCCCCGTCCCGGGCCAGGAAGTGACTAAAAAAAAAAAAAACCAACAAAACATACACAGACGCGCACGCTCTATCACGTAGTTGGGCTTGTGGAGTCCTGTTGGGCTAGGAACCCGACAGCCCCGCCCGGATCGTGCACCCGCCTGGCCCCGAGCCGAGCTGGGCGTCCCGCGGGCTGCACCGAGGCCGGGTAGGCACCCCTGTGCGCGCGCGCGCGGGGGTCCCGGGGTGGGTGGGGCGCGCGGCTAGAGCGCGGGGGTGGGGAGGATAGGAGGTGCCCACGGGGAGGGACCCGAGCCGGGAAATGGCAGTCCCGGGACGTGGAACCACGGCCCAGGGCCAGCCCCGGTGGGGATTACCCCAGGCGCCGTCCTGTCCCCGGAGGAGGCAGAGTCCGCCGAGGAGACGCGCGTGCGCGTGCGCCCGGGCCGTCCCTCCGGGCTGGGAGGGGGCCTCCCGCTCCACCCCAACTTTCTGCGCTGGGTCTTCGTTTTCTAAAGGCCCGATGGCCGTTCCGGAGAGACGACTCCGGAGGCGAGGCCCGGAGGTCCCCGCCCTGTCCGGCCAGTTCTCCCACACGGGCCGAGATGCGGGTGGCCGGCGGGCTTGCTGACCGCACCCGCGACTGGGGGGGCCGGGACCTCTGGATCGCCGGCGTCGGCCCCGCGCCGCTGTCGTGAGTAGGGGCGCATGGCCGGGCCCGAGCTACCTTTCCTCCTTGCAGGCCCTGGCGGCCCCGCAGCCATGCCGACCTGCGGGGCGGCTCCTGAGGCCCCCGACCGCTTTGCCGTGTCTGCGGAAGCCGAGGCGACGGTGTGGGAGCAGCAGCCCCACGTGCAGCGCATCTTCCGCGTGAGCGTGAGCGTCCTCCCGAAGGACTGTCTCGAGAACCCTCATATCTGGCTGCAGCTCGAGGGGCCCAAGGAGAACGTCTGCAGGGCCAAGGTGAACGCGCCTTCCCGCCCCTCCCCTCTCAGACCCTTCCTGGAATCTGCGGTGGAGAAGGGCCGGGGGCAGAGGAGTGGGGAGAGAGGGTGGTCCTCCCAACTTTGACGATCTTCTTGACTTTGTATTTGGAGTTTTGGTTTCATTTCCCGTGTAAGGACCCGGAAGGAACACAGACACACAGACAGACAGACACACAGACACACACACACACAGACACACATACACACACAGATCTGTCAGGGCTCTGAGACTGATTCCATATCACCAGCACCCCTCGTGCTCTTTGGGGGGCTGTGCGGAGACTATTTGGGTGTGGGCAGTGGAACCACATCATTTCCTCTGGCTTAAGTCTGGGACAGTGCCACTTCCTGTGCTCATTATGACCTGGGTTTCAATTTCCCGATCTGTACAGAGCCAACAGTAACAATGTCCACTGCCTTGGGTTTATATAGATGAGATAAGGAATGTGGAGCCGCATTCAGTAAATGAGGGTGATCAGGGTCATATGCCAAATGCAGTATTGACAGTAGGTCTCATTCCCCTGACCCTGAAAGGGCCTCCAGATGTTGGAAAAAGACCAGTAAGAAGAGACTGCTAAAATCTCAGGGCTGGGAGGAATAGAGACATTACTGGTGCCCGCTCGAGTAATTTGACGTTCAATGTTCAGTGGGATGAAAGTGATACAGTGACAGTGATACAGGATGGAAAGTGACAACTCAGTGCACGCACAGCCCCCTGAACAAAGTGGGGGGGGTTAGGGCATCAGTCCTCACAGCATGGGGAGTCTACATCTAATGTTGACACCATCCCACCTTAAATTTAAATATAGTGTCCCTTGCTATTTGAGGGGAAATGGACCCAAGGACCCTGAGCATATGCAAGTCCCTTAGAGTTGGCCTTTTATATCCAGGAATTCAACCAGACTCTTTCACTGGTGGTTGAATTCAGGAACTTGCAACCTATGCTGGGAAATGAACCATCAGGTGCCAGCCACACCCATACCCCTGTTGCTCAAGGATTGATTGTATACTTAGAGTCAGGTTTGTAACCAGTTGCTTAGAATAGTATCTTAAACAGAACCAAGTAGTACATGGAGACTCCAGTCCCCTGCTGCAGTTGGGAAGGGAAAGTGAGTTTCTTACTTTCTTTCCCAGGCAGGGGGATGGGGGTGAGGGGCCCTGATGGCTTTGCCCCAGGAAGAGCAGTGAGTAGGGAGACGGTCCCAAGCCACGTAGGATCCCAGTGGTTTCCTTTCTTCCTGCCCCTTTCCAGGAATTTCTCAAGGGTCTCTGCAGTCCAGAGCTGCAGAACGAACTCCACTATCCCCCAGAACTGCACTGTATCTTCGTGGGAGCCCAGGGCTTCTTCCTTGAGTGCCTCGCCTGGAGCACAGCTGCCCATCTGGTGCCTGGTGTGCCTGGAACACTGAGGGTCAGCGGCCTGACCGAGGCCTTCGTCATGGCTCAGAGCCGAGTGGAGGGCCTGGTGGAGCGGCTGAGCTGGGACCTTTGGCCGGGGCCACCCCCTGGCACGCCTCAGTGTGCTGCAGTGCTGAGGGACTTCTCTGCACTGATCCAGTCACGGGCTGATGTCCATAGAGAGGCTTTGTTGCAGCTGCCTCTGGCTGTCCAGGAGGAACTGCTGAGCCTGGCTCACGAGGCATCCCGGGGGCGGGGACCACAGGGCTCTCCCTCCTGGGAGCTGGGGAGCCCAGAAGTGCTGGATGCTCAGTCTCTGGGAGTCAGAGCTCCCTGGGAAGCAGCTGGGGAGCCCCGAGACACTGGGCCTCCAGGGCAGCGAGATGCGTGCGCAGAAGGATGGGCTGTGGGGGACCAGGGGAAGCAGAGTGGCCCCGGGGAAGGCTGGACGGAGCTGCATTGGGATGAGGTCCAGTGGAAGCAAACGGCCTTGAGGCCCCAGTCGGCACAGCCCCCGAAAGGGAAGGCCCTGGGGAAGAAGGGGGCTCTTCCGGAGGGGGGTGTGGTGTGTGTCCAGGCTGAGCCCCCTGGTGTCCCAGGGCCCGGTCTGCGGACAGCTCAGTCCCGGGGAGCCTCCCTCCACCAGCGTCTGCACAACGGGAAAGCCGCACCGCCCAGAGTGCCCAGCCCCCTGCCAACCCCTGAGCCTCTGTGGCACACTGCGGACCGAGGGGACCAAGGGGACCGGGGAGACAGGCAGCAGGGCGGGTCTCGAGGTCGGGGATCTGCCTGGAAAGGTACGCGAGGGGGCAACTTGGTGACCGGCACTCAGCGTTTCCAAGAGGCTCTGCAGAACCCCTTCACCCTGTGCCTTGCCAATGTGCCCGGCCAGCCAGACCTCCGCCATATTGTCATTGATGGCAGCAACGTGGCCATGGTGTGAGTGCGGGGCTGTCCTTGGGGAGAAGGGAGGGGAGAGAGGGGTGTTTTTGTTCACCCTGGGGTACTTGCTGGGACAGGAGGCTGCCAGGCTCCCCTGTGCAGTCGATGTCAGGGGTGCGGCTGACAGCTGACATGCCCTCCTCCCCATCCCCCTACTTCTTCCCCGCTGCAGCCATGGCCTCCAGCACTACTTCTCCAGCCGGGGCATCGCCATTGCTGTGCAGTACTTCTGGGACCGGGGCCATCGGGACATTACCGTGTTTGTGCCTCAGTGGCGCTTCAGTAAGGACTCCAAAGTCAGAGGTGAGACAGGCCTCCTCCCCCTCCCCCTCCCCCTCCCCCTCCCCTCCCCTCCCCTCCCCCTCCCCTCCCCCTCTTCCTCCTCCTCCTCCTCCTCCCCCTCCTCTCCCTCCCCCTCCCCCTCCCCCCCTCCCCCTCCCCGGCACTGGGACAGGTTCTGCTTACTTCTGAAGTTATGTATACCCTTGTTTTTTCCTTTCTCCAGAGGGACACTTTCTGCAAAAGCTGTACTCCCTCAGCTTGCTCTCTCTCACTCCCTCCCGGGTTGTGGAAGGCAAGAGGATCTCCTCCTATGACGACAGGTACCTACCTGCCTCCCTCCTTGGCATTCTCCTCCACCTGGCAGGGCTGAGGGGAGAGCCAGTGTCCCCTCCCTTCCCTTCCCTCATTCAGAGGCCTCTGTGATGGAGTAGGTAAACTTGCCCTGTGGGCCGATAATACAGACTGGACAACTGCTTGTTCATTAATCATTCATCAAATAAAATGATGCCTTGTATTTATGTAGGGCCTTACTGTCTAGACAATACTGGTTTAATGGAAAGATGGGAGAGCCGATGACAGAAAGAGCTGACAAGTGCCTCCGTAAAATCTGTGTCCAAATATGTAGAGAAATTGCTCCTACATTCTGGGGAAACCACAGTAAAAGTTCAAAATAAGTCAGATGGGGCAAGAGAGAGAAAGAGAGGGAGGTGGGGAGGGAGAGGGAGAGGGAGAGAGAAAGGAAGGGAGGGAGAGAGAGAGAGAGAGAGAGAGAGAGAGAGAGAGAGAGAGAGAGAGAGAGAGCGCGAGCGCGCACTTACCTTACATGAGGCTGACCTGAATTTCATCAGGTCAGATTCATCCCATATGATTCCCTGAGCCCTTCCAGAGTGATCCTTGAGCACAGAGCCAGGAGTAAGCTCTGAACACCACTGGATGTGGCGAATAAAAGCCAGATGAAGTGACATAATTCATGCACAATGGGACTGCACACCATGTGATACTGTAGAAAGGTCCCTGGATTCAGAATTTAAAGATGGTCTCTGAGCCTTATTGGCTCTGTCCCTGGATCTTCTCTTAGTGATGTCTCAGATCCAGGTTTCTCTTCCTTTCATTCACCCTCCTGGTGAATATCAAAAGGAGGTGAGGGATGTGCCTGCCTCACAGGGGTGCCAGGCAGGACGGTGGTGGCATGGCTTAACTTTCCTGGATCCCATTAGATACTGCAGAAGACAGATACTGAGACTGAAAGGCAGAGTGATGAATTCTCTTGGCGAAGGTGGCTAAATGGCAGAGGGGGAAAATGAGAACTTAGAGTTGCCAGATGGTTTCAGTGAAGGCCCATCCCCTCGAAGGGGTGCACACATGGAGTGGAAATGAGCAGCTTTTCTTTCCCCCTTTTTTCGGCTTTTTTGGTCACACCTAGTGATGCACAGGGGTTACTCCTGGCTCTGCACTCAGGAATTACCCCTGGTGGTGTTCAGGGGACCATATGGGATGCTGGGAATCGAACCCAGGTCAGCCGCATGCAAAGCAAATGCCCTACCCACTGTGTTATCACCCCAGCCCCAATCAGCAGCTTTTCAAGGTTTATTTTCCTCTGACCCTGCGCCACCCCACCAATTTTACAACTCTTGATTCTTCACTAGGATTTTACTCCTAAATAAAAAGATGAGTTTCCAAACCTCAGTGATGATATATTTTGATTTTTCAAATACTTTATTCTTCAAGAAGTAAAGGCAATTCATCCTCTTCCCCAACCCTACATAGTATTTTTCTTTCTATCTAGATTTCAGGTTATGATGGAACCTTGTTTCCACAACAGCACTAACGTGATTGGAACTAAAGATCAAGTTATTCGTAGTGAATTTATTTTGTTTATTAATTAATTTTTGGAGCCCCACCCATTGGTGCTTGGGGCCAACTCCTGGCTTTGTGCTTGGGATTGAACCCTGGTTCTGCGTAAGAGATGTCTCCCACAAGCAAACCCTGTCCTCAACCCTTTGAATTCTATCTCTGGCTCCTGTAGTGAATATTCAAAGCATGTGTCTGTGTGGTTATGTAGGTCCTGATAAGCAGACAGCCCAGCATTTTAACTTTCACATAGTTTCACTTAATGAGTAAGCATAGGTCTAGTGAACACTGCAGAATAGCATGTGATGGAATGTGATAGCAGTAAAACATGCTCTACCTAAAAATACCTTTTGCATACACACACACACAGACACACACACACACACACACACACACACACACACACACTACCTCAATTTGTTTCCCACAGAATCTGGCACACCTAATGCTGAATACCTGTTCCCTCTGACACCAGATACCTTGCTGGCTTGCACATGCTGGCTGCCTTCTTAGTATGTCTGAGCAGATGCAGGAATGCTGGAAATCAGGGAGTACCTGATTATTTACTTAAATGAGCAAAAGAACCTATAAATCAAACAAAACACTTCAGGAACTCAGAGGAAGGGAGCCTCCACTTCTGATTGGGGTGTCGTAGGAAGGGAGATATTCATCAGATTCTTGGTGACTGAGTGGGACATAGGCCAGGGTGGATCTTTTAGTTTCTAAATCTCTTTTTAAAAAAATGCTCAACTGCTCATGAGCCCTTGCCCTGTCTTGTGGAAACAGAATGACCAAAACGGGACCCAGACATTCCTTTCATAAGTTTTCCTGGTGACTTTGTCCACTGGGGGTGTGGCAGCCACGTCCAGCTCAAGGGACAGTTTGAGGAATGTGGCAGCCAGGAAGTGCAGGGCCTGTTTAGACAATGATGTCAGCAGATTGTTGATTTTGGCGGGAGCTGAGGAGAGTTCATTAGGGATTTTGGGGAGAAATAAGGTTATTAGGATGGCTTAAGCTGGGTGCTGGAAGGTCTCCGCTGCCAGGGTGGGGCACGTGGACTTTATTCAGTAGATATAGGGCAAGAGTGGAAGAGTGTAGGGGAGAGCAGTTCTCTTGCAGAAGAGTGGTAGATGGCTGGGGCCAGGGCACTTCCTTAGTAGGAGGCAGTGCAGTTGCAGTATCCGAATAATTAAGGTAGCAATGCATGGAGTGGAAAGAAAGGGGGCCACATGGAAGGCTTTTTTTTTCTTTTTGGGTCACACCCAGCGATGCTCAGGGGTTACTTCTGGTTTGCACTCAGGAATTACTCCTGGCGGTGCTCTGGCGACCATATGGGATGCTGGGAATCAAACTTGGTCAGCCGCATGCAAGGCAAACGCCCTATCTGCTGTACTGTTGCTCCAGCCCCTGAAGGAAGAATGTAGTAGATTTGTGACTGGTGGGACAGTGTGGAAGAGGACAGAGCCAGAGCTAGATCTTCCTCTTTTGTAGATAAATTGTGAAGCATTAGGTGGAGCAGGGCGGTGGATCAGGGGATGATGTGGGAGACCATGTGGATTTCATCTTTGTTCTCTCATTGGTGACATCTGAATCCAGTCACTCACCTGGTGGCATCCAGGAGTTTCCCACCTTCCCCCCACCCTCCTCCTCCTCAACTCCCAATCTTCATCAGCACCCCCTGGGGGTGGGGTCTCGCACATCCTAGTATGGCTGCCATGGGTTTGAGACAGGTTCATGGTGAAGCTGGCTGAAGAAACGGACGGCATCATTGTCTCCAATGACCAGTTCCGGGACCTGGCAGAGGAGTCTGACAAGTGGATGGCCATCATCAGAGAGCGGTGAGGGCGTCCTTGCCCGTCCTTATCCAAGCCCGGCTCTGCCTTGCTCTGGGCTCCAGGACCCTGGGAAGGGAGTTGACATGACCCTGAGGGATGGTAGCCATGGCAACTGGTGGTGGTGGTGTCGTCAGTGGCCTGGGAGGAGGGCGGTGGCCCCATCCGTGACCCCACATTCTCTGTGCCCTCTAGTCTGCTTCCCTTCACCTTTGTGGGCAATCTCTTCATGGTCCCGGATGACCCGTTAGGGCGAAACGGCCCCACACTGGAGGATTTTCTGAAGAAACCAGTCAGGTAATGACCCAGACCTTTCCTTGGGGAGCTCATCCAGCGATATTCAGGGGTTACTCCTAGGTCTGCTCTCAGAAATTACTCTGGGTGGTGCTCGGGAGACCATATGGGATGTCGGGGGTTGAACCCGGGTTGGCTGTGTGTAAAGCAAACACCTACCTACGGTACTATAGTTCCAGCACTTAGGCAGCACCTCGTCCTGGCTCTCTCTCCCCAGGAGCCCTGCGGACCTGGAGGCTTGCGGAAAGGGTGACCAGACCAGGTCAGCTTCATTCCCTACGTGCAGTTGCCTTGGGCTTGATCTTTAACTGCTGCCCAGCAAGTCCTGATAGGGCCTGCTGGTGGCTAGGGGAGCGCCTCCTGTTTCCCCTCATCCAACTGCTGGATGGAATCACAGGGAGGGTTGTTACTTTTACCTACAGCCTGTTGTTGGCAGGACACCCTCTGCTGCACCTGATTCATTTATTCAACTAGAGCCAGATGCAGATTGACAGGGACCCTCTTTCTTCCTTGGGAACCTTGGCCTTTACCCTTCAACAATGGGTCGACACTGCCACCCAGAGGTCATTGTGGGGGATGGCACGATGGCTGCCTTCCCTTCTAGCCTCTCTCCAGGTGCTCATCGGCTTCTCTCATTCTCCTTGCTTCTTCCCAGGACACAGGGGTCTGCTAAAGCTCAAAATCCGGCCAGGGGCCTCCCAGAACATGGCCCTCCACGGCCGGGGAAAGAAGAGGAAAAAGTCAGTGGCATCCGGAAGAACCGGGAGACGGAGCGGCTTCGGAGGCAACTGCTCGAGGTGTTTTTGGGCCAAGACCACAAGGTGGACTTTGTCCTCCAGCGGGAGCCATACTGCCGGGACATCAACCAGCTCTCAGAGGCACTGCTCAGCCTGAACTTCTGAGTGCTGCCGCGCCTGGCCTCCCTCGTGCTGCTCAGACCCACACTGGTCCTGACTTGGTGCTTTGCCCGAGGGAGGCGCTCCAGTCCTCGCTAAGCGCCTTGCCTGGTCCTGAAGCCCCCCCCCCCCCCCCCCCACTACACAGGAGCATGCACATGTGTGTGGTGCTCAAGACTGGGCCCTGGCGTCCTGAAGTCCTCTTTATGCAGGATCTCTCCTGGCTCTCAAGGAATTAAGGCTGTTCAGCCTTAATTCCCCACCTGGCCTCTCTGCACAGGATTTTCGGGGGTTGGGGGTGGGGGCGGGTGGCGCTGGGGATTGGGACTGGGTGTTCCCCCTGCTGAGCGGGATGGAGGCGAGGTGGGCAGTGGAGAATGGACAGGTGAGGGTGAGTTGACCCTTTCCTCGGCTGCTTCTCAGGCTTAGCCAGGGTTCTAGGATGGGAAGGCTTGGGTGCTGGAAGGCTGGTATCCTGGGCCTGGGGTTGCTGGTGCTGGTGGAGAAGACAGAGTACTTGGCTTCTGGTATTTGCTCTACCTCCCTGTCTGAGACCTTGACTGAACAACTTGGCCTTTACTTCTGCATTAGGATCAGGGGTATATTCACCCATCTGGAGGAGAAACAAGACCAAGATCCTTGGAGGAAAGGCACTTGGACCAGTCTCAGGTGTGTCTCTCTGTCACTGCACAGGCTCCTGAACCCAGTCCTCACTTCCAGAGAGCCAAGGGGACTCAGTCTCCAGGGCCTGTGCTGAGATCTTAACGCTGCATCCTCAGTCTAACATGCCCTGTCATGGCTGCGTATATCCTCAGTATAATCCTCAGTTTAATGTGTGCCCTGTCATGGCTGCGGCCCTTTGGGCCCCCCGCCCCTCCTACCAGATCCACATTTATGAAATAGTCAGTTAGGGGTGACTGTTTGCATTACCAAAATACTCTCAGGGTTCTTACAAACGGCAGCTTTCCTCTTGCACTCATGCGTGTTTACAGATTAAGGGTCCGAAAGTCCCCACTTAGATGTGCTTGCTGGAGTGCGTGCTGAGCCCTCGCCAAACCTTCAAGGCCGTGCTCTGTCTGTGGTGACAATGCCAATGTGACCTAACTTTTGTGTTTCCTCCACTGAACTCTGCTGACGCATAAAGTGAGACCCTCTTCTGCTGTGTGTATGTGTGTGAGTGGGGATGGGAGGGTTGAGAAAGGTTGTACCATAATGAGCCAGTTATCTGGAAAAATAAAAACTCAGGCGTACAAGTCATTGGTCGGCTGACCACCAGACTGTCACATCAGGACACTGCCAGTGCCCTGACTCCTGCAGGCCCCTCATCTGCATGGAGAGCTGTGTCGGGGAGTTTGTTAGCTCCTAATGCATACCCCACCCACAGGCAGTATTAGAAGGCCTTTGTTTGAGGCAGCTCCAAATGTGCTTTGACTTCTGTCTTTGGGGGCTGTCACTCTCTAATGGTAAGCCCAGCGCCAGCTCACTTTCAGGCACTGAGCCCTGATGGAGAGAGCTAGGTGCGGGGGCACTTCACCCTCTGCAGGCTCTGGCGGCTGTGCCCTTGGCAGCACGGGCGGTCAGACATGGTTGCTCCAACTCCTAGGTCCAGCCGCTGGCACGGCAAGCAGGAGCAGAGGGGCCTTCTCTTTTGTGGCTTCGAGCAGTTTGCCAAACTGAGCTCGGGCTGGGGACAGGCCAGTCAAGGGAAGGATGGATTCAGACTCAACCCACCTCCTGAAGGAAATACATAATACAGCCCAAATTGAGGATGGGGGCAGGGGTGCGCTAAGGAAACTACTTCTGGTCACTTTGGGGGCACACAGCAGGATAGACAAATAGGAAGAAGGTCCTGGAAGAACACTTGGGATGTTTTTACCCCGATGGGGAGGTTTGTAGTTTCTGGCCCATTCCTTGCTGCTTTTGCTCTCAAGGCTGGTAGCTACACAGTAGGTCAGAAGTTCTGCCCTGGGATGTAGGACCCTGGTAGACAGAGTCACCAGGACCTGCCACCTGTCTGTCTTCCTCTTGATGGCCCCGGGTGAGCAAGGATGCAGGGTGGCCACAGGACATCACTCCCTCATCTCCCAGTCTTTGCTTCCATCAGAACTTCACACCCTCCACCCCCCATTTGTTACCAACTTTTAAGGTGATGGAGGATGAACAGAAGAAGAGAGATGTTGCCCAGCGTAACTTTCCAAACCCCATGTAGGGAAAAGTTATGGCAGGCGACATTCCTCGAGATAAATCCTGGAGGATCTCAGCCAAAGAGATGAGCCAGAAGCCGGCGAGGAACTGACTTTTATTTCCCCAACCGAAGGGCAGGGCATTCTCCACAGCGCACCGAGGGGAAGGGGGCAGGAGTGGACATGGTGGGAAACCAAACCCAGACATGCTTTTATGAGTGGAAGAGGTTAAGGCTTCCACTCATCAGTGTGACCTGGAGGCGGTGGTATGGGGAGCAACAGGACCATGAGAAAGGGGTATAGAGTAAAGAAGTTCCTAAGAAACTGAGGCTTTCGGGTCTCTTAGTGTGAGAGTACCAGAGCCTATTCTGGCTCTAACTGGGAGGCCTCTGCTGATGGATGGGCCTTGGGACTCGTGCAGAGTTTCCCGCTTAGGTTACAATTTCCTGCAAGGCAGCTCTGAGCTCTGGGAAGGAATACTTATAGCCTGCAGCCAGTGTTCGCCTCGGGACCACCTTCTGGCCCTCCAGCAGCATGATGGCCCTCTCTCTCCCAAAGAAGGCCTGGACTATGGGGCTGGGGACAGGGATGAAGGCTGGGCGTCCTAGCGCGTCTCCCAAGGCCCGGGCAAACTGAGCATTGGTTGTGGTGGCGGCTGGGGACACCCCGTTCAGGACGCCTTGCACATGGTTTGCTTCCACGGCCAGGGTCAGGATTCCGGCCAAGTCTCCGATGTGAATCCAGGGGAAGAACTGCTGGCCAGAGCCGAGAGGGCCTCCCAGGCCCAGGCGGAAGGGTAGCAGCATGTGACCAATAGCACCACCTCCGCGGCCCAGTACAACCCCTAGGGTGGGGAAGAGAGATGGAAGGGGGCAGTCCTTCAGCCTGCAGCCAGCCCTGCTAAGATCCCTTTCCTTCCTCACCCTTCCCCCAAGCAATGTGAACTGGAGCACAGCTCAGGGGTGCTCTCAGGCCAAGTCCCATCTCCCATCTGGCCAGATGTAGTGGCACCTCCTACTTCCTGTAAGCTCAGCTGCTCTGATCCTTCAGCCCCTAGCCAGAGAAGACGGTTTACCACCCCCTGCTGGTTTAACTCCCAGATCACTGGTTCTCACCAGAGCGCACCACGACCTGCCGTGTAGAATCTCCAGGAAGCCTGGCTGCAGCTTCCCATTTGGTAACGAGGTTGGAGAAAAAGTCAAAATCCCCTCCCGGGCTGTCTTCATCATACTCCGCAGTCAGGCTGGGCTTGTAGAAAGCTGGGGGTGTGGGGGGGGTGGGAGAGGGACAGCCTTGTCCAGCTGTCCTGGGTCCGGCCTCCCCCTCCCCATGGGAAAACTGTGCCAGTGATGGTTCCTGGTGAGCTGATCTTCCTGTCCTGGGGGAGCACTTAGGTGGGGGCCTAGGCTAGGAGAATCATGGTTTAGTTCAAAGACTTGGGTGCCAGGCTACCTCAGTTCTGTCATTCATTCATTCATTCAGATTTGGATTTTGGCAGACTATGAAACCTTTCTGTAAAAATCTCCACCTCATTAGGATGGGAACAATAGTGGTATCCACCTCATTGGATTTAATAATGAGCAATGAGGAAGGCTTACAATTGCAGCAGGTGTATGGACTATAGGTGGTTGGTAATTATTTGGCTCTCAGAGTGAAACAGGAGAACCAGGAATCCTGTTTGCTACAGAGCTGTGCTGTGGAAAGCCGGATACTTGGGATGGGTAAATTTTGCTGGGCAGTGCCCTTCCAACCTCATCCTCTTCTCCATGGGCCTCCCTTTCTGGGTGAAAGTCCACAAAACCCAGTAGAAACCAGTGTGGGCAACCCCAAGATGCCCCTATACTTGGAGACCCCCAGAGGTGTCGTAGAGGGGGCAAAAAAAAAAGCCTGAATTACCCCTCAGCAGGCACTGCCCTACCCCTGAGCATTACTGGGGCTTCTGTGATATAAGGCATACCTACACCTGTCACCAAGACCCAGGCCTTGGGTGGTTGTGGGGCCTTGGCAATGGCCCCAGCCAGAATCTGGGTGGTCTCCAGGCGGCTGTTGAGCACCTCTTTTTGGAAGGCTTCATTCCACCTGCCGGAGAAATGGGGGCATAACGCTCACTCACTGATCACATTATCGAGCACTTCCCACTCCTCTCTCTCTCTCTTTTTTTTTTCTTTTTGGGTCATACTTGGCTCTACACTCAGGAGTTACTCCTGGCGGTGCTCAGGGGACCATATGGGATGCTGGGAATCGAACCCCGGTCGGCAAACACCCTACCCGCTGTGCTATCTCTCCAGTCCTCTCCCCCCCCCCCCCCCTTTCCCCATGCAAGTATATAAAACTGCTTTGTGGCATTGCTCCGGCCCAAGGACAAGGGCTGGGCCTTCTGGGGCCTCTCGAGGTCAGCAGTGGGGCGGGCCGCGTGGAAGGAGTTGGGGTCACTGGTAGGACATGATCCAGGGACTGGCTCGCAGCAGCTTCTCCGTGGACTCCCCCTGTCGCCCGCCACCCGGGGACACGGGCGCTGGAGCCCGGCTGACCTCCGCAGGGGGTTGAGGATGTTCTCCCCGGCCAGGTTGACGGCGGCATCACAGGGGGGCAGTCCCGACGCGGAGAGCTCTTTCTGCAGGACAGAACACAGTGCTCGCGACGCCCCATCGGATGGAGGCTCCCTCCGACCTTCAGCTCCCAGGGATGTGTGTGTGTGTGTATGCGTGTGTATGTGTATGTGTGTGTATGTGTATGTGTGTGTATGTGTATGTGTGTGTATGTGTATGTGTGTGTGTCTTTGTGTGTGTGTGGGTCGGGAGGGTGTCCCACTTACCCAAGTGACGCGTCCCGGCCCCGGTTTTCGGGAGACCAGCGTCACTTCGTGGCCCCGGGCTTTCAGGAGCTGCGTGAGGGCTGTCCCCACGAAACCGGTGCCGCCACCTGGTGGGAAAATAGGGGGTGTTTATCCTCCGGGCTCTTCTGCTCCGGTGCCATCCCATGCGACTGCACACTCGTCGCGCGCAGAGGTGACCCGGGTCACAGGGATGGAGGGCATTCGGCTCCTACAGCCAGGAGGGCGAGAGCAGGCGGCCTGTGCACGAGATAGAGCCTCGCGTCCGAACCACTTCCCAGTTCTCAGCCTCAAGCTTCCCAAGAACCCGCCCTCCGCCCTCCGCTCCAGCCTCCCTCACCCACAAGCACCCGCATAGCGACCAGAACCTGACGCGCCTGCGCGAGGGTTTCCCGACCGCTGCCGCCACCAGCCCCGCCCTCCACTTTTAGCAGACACGCCCACCGTCCCGCGCATGCGTCCTTCTGGCCAAGGGCTCCAGCGGTGGGGCGGGGCGAACTGGAACTGGGCGTGGCCCTGCCTCGAGACCCGGAAGAATTCCTAGAGGAGGCCACCTGCTTCCGGTTCTGACTGTGGGTGGAGTGAAGCGGGTTGGTGGGTGGAACTGCGGGTTCTAGGCAGGCGGGGAAGAGAGGAAGGAGATGAAGGAAGTATGGGTTTAGCTGCGGAAATATAAAGCTCTGAAGTTTGAAACTGTGGTGGTGGGGGCCTGTAGTGCAGGCGTGACTCAAAGGAATAGAGCGAAAACGGTCTCAGAACGTTTTCAGTGAGACATCACGGTCCTCCCGTTCATCGATTTGCTGAGGGGGCCCAGTAACATCTCCATCGTGAGACTTGTTGTTACTGTGTTTGGCATATCCAATACATCACGGGTAGCTTGCCAGGCTTTGCCGTGCGGGCGAGATACTCTCGGTAGCTTGCCGGGCTCTCCGAGAGGGGCGGAGGAATCGAACTCGGGTCGACCATATTGGCCGCTTGCAAGGCAAACGCCTTACCCACTGTGCTATCGCTGCTGAAAATTCTGGTACGCAGGCTATCTCGGGGGTCGAGATGGGCTACCTCCCCCCACTTCCCTGGACTACGAGAAGCCTCAGCAGTCACATCCACACCCCAAAGCTGCCACCCAGTTAAAAAACTACTCCAGCTTTATCTTCCTGATAAAATACTGAATGCCCTGAACAAGCACCATGACCTCTAAGTACCTGTATTGCAAACAATGATGCACAAAAAGAAAAGGAGAGCATGAGCAAGAAGGAAAGTGTATCCCACAGAGGGGGTCTAGGGGTGGGGGGAGCTGTTGGGGGAGGGACGGGGGGAAACGGGACATTGGTGGTAGGAAATGCACACTAGTGGAGGGATGGGAGCTGGATGACTGAAACCCAGTTATGAACAGCTTTGTAATGGTCTATCTCATGGATATTCAATTAAAAAAAAACCCAAGTTATAAAAAAAGGGTTGGAGCAAGTTTTGGCACAGCATGGACATCGCCCCCCCCCCCCGCCCCCCAGCCTTAGAATGTCTGACTCCCCCCCGCCCCCCCCCCCCCAGCCTTAGAATGTCTGACTCCCAGACACAAGAAATGACATCTCAAACCCAAGCTACTCAAACATTCAAAACCCAGGCTATTCAAACAACATTCCAAACCCAAGCTACTCAAACAATATCCCAAATGCTGCTTGTTCTGGTTTCATGCTAACTAGCATGAAAACATTCTAAAATTCCTCCTGTCTTAAATCACCCCATTTTAGTCTTGTTTTAGTCTTCTTTTGCTGAGGATTTCCTCTTCTCTTCCACAACTGAATGACCCAAGAGAGTGCTGGCATTTGCTTCTCCTGGTCTTTTGTCTTAATCTCCTTGTATTAGTTACCCAGAGCACTGATTTCCTTGTGTCATTAATATCACTTATCACTTAACTTCCCGTTAGTCGTCGATTTGCTCGTGCGGGTGCCAGTAACGTCTCCATTTGTCCCTGTCGCGTGCTAGTGTAGCCCAATGGCATCTGTTCGCTCTGGGAACATGAAGAGCCTCAAACCGATCGTTCATGATCTTGATGGAAGAAGTCTGACCATCACTAATATAATGTCCAGTTTTCATTCTTCTTACCTCTGTATCATTGGATCCTTGCTGACTCCCTCCCTCTTGGGGGTCTTTTTTCTGTTTTTTTTTTTCTTTGTCGGTGTTTCCTTTTCACTTAAGGTCCTGAAATGTTGGTATTTCTCAAATTTGGGCCCTAGAACTACCATCTCTTGCCATGCTATATTTTTCCTCCCAGCATCTCTGGGTGAATACAGTTACCCCTTGTTTGCTTTTGTTTTTATTAAAAACAAAATTTATCCAGTGTCCCTGAACTTTGAGGCTCCTCCCCATGCCCCCCCCCCCCCCCCCCCGCCTGCTCCTGGCTCATGTAAAAAAGCTAGACACTTCTTCTTGGTTATTTGAAACCCCGTTGATTGTGTTTGTTAAATCATTTTCAGATTCATCTATTTCTTTCTTCAACTTTTGAAGAGAGGAATGTCAAAAGATTGTGGACAATTGTTTTGGCTTTTTGGGTCACCCCAGTGATGTTTAGAGGTTACTTCTGGCTCTGCACTCAGGAATTACTCCTGACGGTGCTCAGGGGACCATATGGGCTGCTGGGAATTGAACCTGGGTCGGCCTCGTGCAAGGCAAACTCCCTACCCACTCCAGTCCCTGTGAACATATTTTAAAAGCAACACAAGTTTTATGTTGTGATGAGAGCCTCTGTGAGAGTCTCTGGACCATGCCTGGCACACTTGTGCTACTAGCACAGGTTGGGAATCTTCCTACCTCCCTAACTGGTACTTTCTCAGAAAACCTTTGAAGCATTTATAATTTCCTTTTGTTCTCTTCAGATCTCCTTCCTCCCACAGCTCAAGCTGCTCTGATAAAATATCAGACTTCTCTTTCTACTCTGATTTTTTTCTTTTCTACTTTTATTCTTTTCTACTCTAATTTCTGTACTCAGTCTTCCAAGATCTACTTGGAATACTTAAATATTCTTTTTTTTTTTTGCTTTTTGGGTCACACCCGGCATTGCACAGGGGTTATTCCTGGCTCATGCACTCAGGAATTACTCCTGGAGGTGCTTAGGGGACCATATGGGATGCTGGGAATTGAACCCGGCATTGGCAAGGCAAACACCCTACCCACTGTGCTATTGCTCCAGCCCCAGGAATACCTAAATATTCTCTCCTTAAAAATCTTGCTTTCAAATGTGAAAAATTTTCTTTATTCCATAAAGAATTTTTTTTATCATTTCTTAGGAAAGGGGTAACTGCTGAGGTGGATTAAAATGTGGAGGGTAGTGAGAGAGGAGTACCATGGAACCGTCAGAGTATGAGTACTGCTAGGAGAACTGAATTTAGTATAATGGAGCAATCAGAGTATAATACTTCAAAGAAACAGATTTTCCTGAGCAGCTGGAGCTATGCCTGCTATATAATCTTGTTTTAGAGTAAACATTTTTTTCCCATTAAAAAACATTTTTACTGGTAATAATTTATTATAAAATCACTTAAAAATAATGCACAACATATAGGGAAACTTAATTTCCCCAAACGACTGATTCTTTATATCATGCTTAACTGTGGAGGGCACAAAGTATATAACAGAATGAAGGAAGGAAGAGAGGAAGTCAACTCCATATTTTAAGTAACATTTCAACTAAACTGCTCTAGCTCAATCACATTTATATTTCCTAGCTCTCACTATTCCCATGGTTATAAATCCCTGGTCACCATTATCTTTGCTATAGCTCCAAATTCTCCCATACAGGGCACTAATTAAAAAGTGGTATCTACCACCAAGACTGTGCACTGGTCCCAGGAACACCCTGGAGGCTCTGCCTTCCCAAATACCTTCTGGATTTGGTGAACGTGGAAGTGCAGTTGATGTAGATATGAAAGGCCCCCATGGCAGTGGAATCTCTAGGAAGTAATAAAACCAATAGCCCTAAGGCTGCAAAATCCCACCTTGTGAGCTCAGGAACTAAGGCTTGATAAAATTCTTACCTGGCATCTACAGACCCAGAAAATGCTGGATCCCCCACTCTGAGAGAAACTCCAGCAGGAACAAAGGCCAAGAAAAGGAATGTCAAAGAAGACCATCAATAACTCTCAACTCTATCCTGTTAGCAATAGACTTTTACCTAGCTAGAAATCCCTATGTGAAGCAGCTTGGGAAAAAAACATATAAAAGCCAACTTGAACAAAGGAAATGTGTGCATATGCTGCCCGAGCCTATGTGCTGCTTGTGAACACTTGGCTAAGCACATGTGGCTCCAGAGCACATTTGCCGCCCGAATCTTCCCTCTTGAGATATGTATTTGGGCTAGCTCCATCTTTGGAGAAGCTCATGTTCTCTCTTGAGCACTTCAATTCTTTCTTTCTCTCCTCCCCTTCCATTCCTCAAAAAGCCTCCCCAAAATCTGTTTTTAATTCACTGCTTTTCTACTCCTGAAATTCTTTTCTGTGAGAAATACAGGGACAAAACAGGCCCGGGTAAGACTTTTCTTTTCCTGCAAGTCCTCACTCCAGCTTGAATTCATGGCTACCCAGAAATAGGGTGGTGGATAATAACTCCTGTGCCAAGAAGGACAAGTAGATATCAGATGTGTATTGATGGCTATCTAGTGGGGCTGGTAGGACTCCTGGTCTGTGCAGTGAAGGGGCTCATTGTAGAACTCTCTAGAGCCAGGACAGAGGCTCAAAGAGTTGGAGTATATGCTGCACATGTGGAAGATCTGAGTTCAATATCCAACTACCCAGATGTTGCCTAAAACCCCCAAATAAAATCATCAACCACAAAAACTAATTTCTGAATATTTTTCTCTCCTTATTCCAATCAATTTTCTTCATTATTTCAAGGCTGATAGGTTGTGCCTGGGCTGGGAGGGATTAGAGAGGAGACAACCACTCAAATATGGAAGTTTGGTCTTTATTGAGGTTTATGGAGAGTCTGTGATCCGACTCTCTGAGGCATTGGGATGGGCTATAAGTTCGTCAGGAACTGGATACAACTTGAATACTGCCAACACAGAGAGCCTTCCCAGGTCTGGTTCCGGATTTCCTCTCTGGCAGGCCCAGGCACCACGCTCAATTCTCCTTCAGGATTTTATCAATCCAGGGCCGGAAATGGGAGATCCGGGTGAAGACTGCAGGAGGCTTGGCGTTAAACTGTCCATAGGACACAATGCCTTGGGCCACACCAGCACACAGAAGAGGCCCCCCCGAATCTCCCTGTATATGGGGGGGAGAGAGAGAGAGAGAGAGAGAGAGAGAGAGAGAGAGAGAGAGAGAGAGAAAGAGGAGTGTCACGGAAGACTTTCAGAGTTGTCCATCGGCTATAAGAGCTCTGTGTCCATTGTCTAATGCTCCTT